TTAAAACTAGTTTCAAATTACAATGTTTATAAATAAAAATGATAAAAAAAGTAAAAACAAACAACAACAAAAAACAACGTATAATTCCATTGTTTTATCCATCACACGACACGTGTGGCTGACATCAACTTCACATGCTACGTTCAAAACAAACATTTTGAAAAATTAAAACAAAAAATAGACTTTCACAGAACTGCCAGTCTTCTCAGGTTAATTTTTCCTTATGGTTCTTTAATTTGACAATGTAAGTGAATAAAATGCCAACTGTAACTAATTTCATATCTCATTCACCTTACTTTATATTCGTACTGAACCAAATGTTGAAGGTTATCTTAGTTGTTTTATATACATTTATATGATCATTTTTCCCGATAATTTTTCATTATGACGAAAAGATTTTTTCCTTACTGCTTTTAATTTTCCTTTCCGAAATGCTATGTTCTATTTGCTTCTTGTTATGGTGTGTGCTTCTGAATAAGTTCAATGTGTTAGTGTTTGTAGTGACGACTATGATTGCTTTGCATGTAATTTTTTTATAACTTATAAAAACTGTCAAACAAGGGATATTGATATTTATCATTGTTTATCATAAATTCATCCAAACTTTTATGAAATTTAATCATTATTAAAAGGATTCACTGTGTAATTGCAATTCTGCCCGCAGGACATATATAGAAAAGTGATATTCAACTGAATCTTCTTAGTAATATTATTTATAAAGCAAACGAATTTAGAAATTGTCATTTAACTCTTTTCTTTCGGCTAAATAGGCTTATTTAAAACGATTATGATTAAACTGTTGTTATTCTATTATTGGTTTGGTACTTTAGGATTGAGTTGAAGTTTATCATATAGAACCAGGTTTACAACGTTTCTCGTTTATTTTCTGCATTTAAATTCTATACAAATATATCTGTCAATTCCCCAAAATCGTGCCTTCCTACACGGTTTTTGGATTTGCTTTTCGGTATTTTCTTTGATGTACAACCACCTGTATTAGAGTGTGGACAGATTTTCTTGTTGTTTCAGTAAGTTTTGTACTTTGAGCTTTCAGTAACCATGGCAACTGCGATATTCCCCGATAAGGTATTATTTATTATTGTTTTACTTTTGCTCGAGTTTATGGTATCTATCATGCCGATATGATAGAGGCCAATACTTTTCACGATGAGCTTTTATAGCGCGTTCGTTTGATAACTTGTTCAACTTATTCATGATTAAAGAGAATGGTTTCGATGGTAGAAAAATTAATCCTGCCATATGTTCAAATGTCTGTTCACAGTTAGGAACCATGTCAGAATTCAGTTGATTTATATAATATTGTTTGTTCTTTAGAGAATGTTATGTGGATGGCAGATCTTTAATAATTTATTCGTAGTCAGACACGGGCGGTTTGGATATTGAAATAGTGTATTGGCCATTGTCTGTTGCTTAATACCTTATATTGAAATCTCGATGCCTTTTGATTTTTTTTTCGTTGGGTTGCTGTCGTTTGCCCAACTACTGCTTAAATTCAGGATTTTACTATCCGCAACCAACAATTTGCTTTCATTCTTGTATGTGCAATAAGATAACATAGTGGAAAAAGTATTTTACCAATGTATAAATCGCATAAATCAATTAAAAAGATACAAGTCAAGATAAAACAAAACACAGGAATAGCATGAAATCCATAAGACACGAGACCGGGTAAGAGTCTCCTACTATGCACGTATCATCTGCCATAGATAAGTTACTTTTTTTGATTTCAAAGAAGAGCACTTTGTCGTTGGTAGTTTTGATGTACATATGCACCCTATTTGAAGATTCCAAATGTTTAAACATCACATCACTACAAAGCTTCTGAATCAATATGATTTTTTCAATTAATATCCATGACCTCATTATAATTTACTTAACCACTATATATAGATTCCTGTCAAAGTGAAATGTACATTAAAAACATATCCAATTAGGCCAAATACATTTATCAGGTTTTATATGTTTACTCAAATAGCCATACATATGATACAGTGATAAGAAAAGAATAACCTAGTCAACTGAGCTGAAACTAATAGGCAACTCAATAATATACTTATTACAAGATCATAAGACTTTGTTTACTTTGGTGTGGGTAATTATCTAATATTTAGAAAAACCTTTTTTAAAACTCCAATATTTATTATCTACAAATAGTTTAATAATTTTAATGATTACTTTACTGTTGACATGGTTTACTCAAGCTTATTCTTTAAATTAATGCAACGTAACCATGATGTATGTGTTTGGTGTCATAGACGATCTTAACTGCAGTCAGAATAATGTGTTTTGATAAATTGAAGGAATTTAGCTTAAACACCTCGTCTCACAAAAGAAATGATTAATGGTGTTAAATTAAAAAAAACATAGAAAGCGGTTAAATTGCACTTTACAATTTGTATATTTGTTCGGTTTTCCTGGCTTTTAAACCTTTTTGACAAAATGAATGCTTGCTAATTACTTGCACTAATACATTGAATCTATTAGTCCCAACTAATTCCTTCAAATATTTTTTCCTATCTACTTCATTAGATACGCAAAAATGACCGAGTTGTAGCAAATGCAAATATTTTCTTTATCTTGGTGGAAGAAATATTATCATAAAATAACCAATTTCAGAACCAATTGCATGATTTTTTATTTAACCGTTGTTTACAATGTTTATACAAACAAGTTATTACTTACCATTCTGTCCCTAAATGTCAGAAACCTCGTCAGTGGTTGACCTAAACTATGTCTGAACTATTTTGTCCTTTAATTAACATACATTGTAAATGTTGCTGGATAATCTTTAATAATTATTGTTAAATTGACTTATCTTTTTATCATACCTTACGTCAGGCTCTTCAAGAAACCGTCATTTGTTTAGCAAAATGTTATAAATTCAAACGAATAAATGAAAGTTATTGAATGTAAACAACGCACTCATAAACAAAACATCCTCTGGCTAGGTTCATGACTTTTTGTCGTTAGTAATCAAATCTCCTTTGTTTTCTGACCCTTTTGGTATCATTTTTTTTCAACTCATAGTGATGATGTTTTCAAAATTAGTACGAAGTCTGAATAATACATAATGCAAGTATTAAACAAGAACAAAGACATATTACTTTAGGTAGATGTGAAATATGACAGCAATTCTATGAAATGAAATATATATAGAAGATACACATTTGCGGATTAAACTAGTAAGGCAGGAACTGCTCACCCTTCTGTAGTACCTAAGGTCAACCCTGTTTTGAGTGGGGTTCACGTTGCTCCATTCTTAGTTTTCTGGATAATGTTTTATTATTATTGTCATTTCATCATTAATGTTCTTATTGGATTTTTCATTGTCCCCTTTGTATATTTTCATTTTGTCTATATCAGCACGTTTCTAGTGGTTGTTCCTCAATTCATAGTTCCTAAAATGCTTCATAATTATACTAGAGTAAAATTTAGATGTGGACAATCCTTTTTTTTTATATTTGCATGTCCAGGATTATACTGTATCTCATTATTAAACAAGTGGAAGTAATCATAATGTCTGTATTTATATAAATGATTACGTCTTCAAGTAGCCATTATCAATATTACAATGTTGTTTTAGGATTTACTTTTATTTTGATAAGGAAGTATAATTCTAAATTTTCTCTTATAACAAGGACAACTACAGTATATAGTGTAATTTTCGAGTCACGTTTTGTTCTAAGATGGGGCCTTGTATTTTCACTGTTCATTATTCACTTTATATGGTCCTGTATAAAGCATTCAAATGAAGGGTGAAATATATGTGTCAGGTAAATTTTCCGGTTAAATGTCTACTGCAAAAAAAGTGAATGACACATTTGAAAATTGTTATTATTTTTGGGAAATATTTTTACAAATTCATATGTGACGTCACTTTGTGTGTTTTTTTAGAATTTCAAATGTGACGTCACTTTGTGCGTTGAGGCTTTAGTTAACTCGGCTGTGTATTTTTATATGTTGGATTAAGTTGTTTTATGTAATGTATCCGTTTTTATTCTGTAGTTAGTCCCCACTTTGGTTTTATCATGTATATCTATTATATAGTCATTTTATAAAATTTACTGTTTGCAAAATTATAAATTATTCTAAATAATAAGGATGTTCTTGTCCCAGGCAGAAAATCCTGGCCGTGTTAGGCGCAACTTTTTGGAAGTTTTGGTCCTCGGTGCTCTTCAGCTTTGTACTTTTTTTGGCTTTCAAACTTTTTTTATCTGAGCGTCACTGGTTAGTCTTGTGTGGACGAGACGCACGTCTGGCGTATTGAATTTTAAGCCTAGTACCTTCTGCTAGCTATTATTCGTGTGTTTCTTTGTCCTATATGTTCTCCCATTTATTTGTATTGTGGTCCTGTCATGTGATGTTGTCGTTTTGGTGTTGTGTTTGACGTTGCCATAAAAGCGGGAGGTTTGGCATGCCACAAAACCAGGTTCAACCCACCATTTTTTTCTTAAAATGTCCTGTACCAAGTTAGGAAAATGGCCATTGTTATATTATAGTTCGTTTTGTGTGTGTGTTACATTTTAATGTTGTGTTTTTGTTGTGTCGTTGTTCTCCTATATTTGATGCGTTTCCCTCAGTTTTAATTTGTAACCCAGATTTGTTTTTATCTCTATCGATTTATGAGTTTCGAACAGCGGTATACTACTGTTGCCTTTATTTAAATGTCTACTGCAAAAATAGTGAATGACACATTTGAAAATTGCCCGCTATATCGTGTATCATTCCTATCATTCTAAAGAATTAAACAGACACACTTTTATCTTTTTTAAACTTGAGTTACTGACTCATTGGCACTTAACCCAAACTAGTATAAGTTAATTCAGATATTATAGATATCTAACAACACCAGCTCCTGTAGCATTATTAATCATGATGTACGGAGATTGTTGGACTTTGTAATTATTTGGTATCTTATAATTATCAGTTCAATTTTTTTCTGTGGTTCTATTATGACTATAAAACTGTTACACAATATCTAAACTATAATTTTTTTAAATATATTTATAAAGCATTTATTTGTAACGACTGCATAAATAAATGTATTACATCTAACAAAATAACCAATATTAATATTTGGATAAAAACATGAATAAATGCTATTTGCAAGAATTTACAACAGAGACTTTAAGTCTAAAAAAATAAATCATTTTAAATTTACAAATAAATAATAATTTCATAAGAACACCAGATCACAAAAGCCATGTCTTGTGTACACTGGATAATAACTATGATATCTATAAGACATGTTTATAGTTATTTAGATTAGTTTTTCTGAATCAGGTGTGTAAACTAAGGATAATATCATTCTCATATCATGAGTTGTGACATCTTGGAAACCAAATTGAGTGTTCAAAATAACATTGTGGCTTCTGGATGGAAATAAAATCTTTAAGTTACCAATGTCTTAATACATAATATATATTTCATTGTTAGGCAATGAGGTAAAGAATCATTGATAAAGCTGTATCAAAAATATATATATATGGTTTTGTTTTCAAGCAATTTCATTGGATGAAGTCGGTTGTACTACAGAGGAATAGCTTATGGATCATTTCCAGTCATAGAGTTGTTTGCCTAGTAATTTTAGTCCCCTTTCATAACTCTCGCCTATACTTTTTTTCAAATTTTATGTTTGAAAATCTTTTGGAAGCCAAAATTCTAATTCATAAGAAAAACAGAAAAGGTCAATGTGTAACTTAAATGTTTTTCATCTTATTTTTTTTTAAAATTCTATGTTTATCTTAATTTCTTAACAACAGCTGTCAGAAGCCTGAATAGTCTACCTTGACGCAATTACACAATAAAGGTTCAAGTGGAATGAACTTTAAAGATTACAAACATTTCAATATTGATTTGTTCCAATAAGCTTTAAGAGTTACAACAAATATAACATTACTGTAAACTATTAAAAACATGGTTTTTTGGTTGCTTTTCAACAGACATAAACAATAATTATATACCTCAAGAACTATTTGATTAAGCTTGACCTTAATTGAGGGATGGTAACGAGGAGATTTTGCAATGTTTCCCCCATTATGTCCAAAGTGTATTTGTTCAGTAGTGGTAGTCATCCTGAATTTCTTGTAAGGACGAAGGTTGGGAAGGGTAGGGGGCATAAAAATTCTTTTACAGATTTGTTTAAAAATTGCCACATCAACCATCATGGTTTGTGAACAGGGATTTCCAGAAGAATTTTCAAAAAATCAATAAAAAACTTGTAAATATAAAAAAGAAGATGTGGTATGATTGCCAATGAGACAACTCTCCACAAGAGACCAAATGACACAGAAATTAACAACTATAGGTCACCGTACGGCCTTCAACAATGAGCAAAGCCCATACCGCACAGTCAGCTATAAAAGGCCCCTAAATGACAATGTAAAACAATTCAAACGAGAAAACTAACGGCCTAACTTATGTACAAAAAATGAACAAAAACAAATATGTAAGACATAAACAAACGACAACCACTGAATTAAAGGCTCCTGACTTCGGACAGGCACATACAATAATGAAAGAATGTTGTTTTTCTATTAAGTTTTCAAATCACACAGAAATGCACAATAAAAGTATTTAACTACTACATTCTACTTTAGTAAAGGCATTGGAAAGTAAGTTTTTAATAACCTGCATTTTAATGGTAAAAGCTTATGATGGCATTGCATATAATTGAATACTAGGTAATATTTTTCAATAAGGATATTCGCTACTCTTTGTTTTAACTTTTTGTCAGATATTTGGAATCCTCTAGCTGTAGCTAGTTATATCTATGCAGTGTACTGCCAATAAAATTTTTACAACTAATCCCTACTTTTCTTTTCATAATTGTATTACATATAGTTTAAAAGCCATTTTTGAAAATCTTAAAAAATCCTTATTTTTTTCATAGTTTTTGAAAGAATAAAGGTGCAAATGTTAAAAATCTAGAGAATTCCGCCAAATTTAAAAAAAAAATATTTTCTGCGCTCCTTCATCAATATTAAAGATATCCTCTCAATAAGCCAATAAATATTAAATAACTTGCTTATACTAAGCAAGCAAAGAAAATAATAATGCTTTCAAAAGGTCATTAAATAAATTTAACAAATTTACCAACAATTAAAAATGCTTGGGTGTAATGCTTTTCAGACAAGGAAAAATTATTTGAACAATAGTATAACTTATCAAATCAATACCATGTTTGCTGTATGAGGATGTGAGGTCAATTAATGTATATGCATATTTAATTACATCAATTAAAGGATGATAACATTGCCCACTCTCTCTTGCAATAGGGTAGCTTTTATTAGACTGCTATTCTGTTATTCATGTCTACCAATGCACTTCCAACTATAAATCATGTTGTTCAATATTAGAATGCATTCACGATAGTAACAAGGATCACATAAAAATACAAAATTAATGAATCAATTTTAATTTAATTGGACATTGCTTAAATTCAATGTAATAAGGACAGGAAAATGGAAATAAAATTAAAAGAATAGGGTTTAATTATCTCTGAAAAATTCTTTAGTCCTTAGAAGTTATTTGAATGATAAAATCAATTGAATAATAAAGGCTTGACACTTTGGTGCAGAAATATCGTCTTAAATTTTATTTGACTAAAAGAAGAATTTGTTGGCCCTATCAATTAGGAGAAACAATCTAACTTAAACAATCTTTTTACTTGCATTTCAAAAAAAATGTATAAGATATCTTGTGGCAAAGTATCACTTGAGCTATTAAAGAGTGTTGGTTATCTTGATACATTGATAAAATGACTCCAAAATGAGACAGTTTTGGACAATTATTTTCCAAATTTGGCCTAATCAAACATAGTCCATTGTCAGTTGACCTGCACTCACAAAAAAAAAAACATTGTAAGGTGACTTATTATTAATTTATTGTAATATAATCAACAATAATATACTTATACTGTGAAACAGATCATTGTAGAGATAAATGTTTAATACTTAAAATTACAGCTTCATTATTTTGGACCCTATTTGGAACTGTAAACTGTTTTAGTAAAAAATATATTGTCTAAATCTTATTTCCAAACTTTTCAAAATTGAAACCTTTTGGGGGAAATAAAATGAGTCATCTGCAAATTTTTTCTCGACAAGATTTGTTTGAGAACAAGAAATTTGCTTTCATCATATAACAAATACAAATATAAACTTAGCGTATAATCATTTTAACAGACCATTTCCTAATTGCAACAGACCAACTTCATGACTAAACACGTACACATTTAAGATCATTCAAACTTGTGAAGTACACAATCTGTTGTGTATTATGTGTAGTATCATTAATAAGACTTGCTTTTTCAAAATTGAAACCTTTTTGGGGAAATAAAATGAGTCATCTGCAAATTTTTTCTCGACAAGATTTGTTTGAGAACAAGAAATTTGCTTTCATCATATACAAATACAAATGTAGACTTAGCGTATAATCATTTTAACAGACCATTTCCTAATTGCAACAGACCAACTTCATGACTAAACACGTACACATTTAAGATCATTCAAACTTGTGACGTACACAATCTGTTGTGTATTATGTGTAGTATCATTAATAAGACTTGCTTTGAAGGAATATGTGTGTTGAACATTAAAGATATATAGGTACAAGACAAAACAACAAAACCAGAAACACATCTGGTGGTAAACACATGTTAATGATAGACCAATGTCTTTATTATATGAGCTGCGTCGGATAGAAATCGACCTTATGCAAGTGCACGTTGACATATACAATGTGTAAGACTATGATTGATTATATAACATTCAAATACGAAATAAAAGATGAATTTTGAACTGCTTTGTAGGGTTCTTATGACAACTCAATTTCCAAACAGTTACAGGCTTTCCGTGGAGATTTTTTTCTACCCGAAATAGATTTACAGATGTATTCGAATTCATTTGCATAAGGTCGATTTCTATCCAACGCAGCTCATCATATATCAACCTCAAAAAGTATTTGAGGAAAAAATCCCTAACATCCAGAGTCAAGGTTGGATTCTTCTTTTGAGACAATGTTATGGTAATATGTAGTGTAATCGACCTTAAATTGATAGGTTTATTCCATAGCTGAAGAACTGCCATTACCTCATAAGCTAGAAAGAGTAATCTGATTGACAACACAAATTGTTTGTTATGTGTTTCTAAAATTACTAAAAAGTTTACATTGGCTACCCTACCCTCAACCTTTCTTGGCAATCAAACATATCTTAAAATCACAAAATTAGGCCTTCTTTACCGTCTCAGATTTCATAAAGGCTAAATCGTTAGAAGAGAAATTATTTGCAAAAATAAATATTTTCATATTGGAAATGAATTTCTTTCAATCATTCAACAGAAATTTTAACATAAGAAGTTAAATATTTTTTATACTTTTTAGTAGTAATTCCAACCCCCCCCCCCTTTTCAAAGTAAATACTATTCCACTCATAAAAATGTAGCCAATGTTTGCTTTTAATTAATTTACTATTGATGTTTATATGGTTTAAATAAGGTTTACATAAAAATTATTTTAAGTGAGAACAAAAACTTGACACATAATTACACATCATGATATCACATTACTTACTGCTTAAAGTTAAAGATTGTAAGGATAAATCTAAAAAATAACTTATTTAATTATCAGTTATGGATGTTCCAGCATTAAGTGTATGAGGGGCATGGGAGACATTTTTTTAAAACCCTGACACCCATGAAATAGAAATTTCATTTTACTTATAATTTTTACAAAATTCTAAGGACAATGCAACCAAACATATTAAATTAATTTGAGTGCCTCTTGACCACCAACCATTAATTTTAGAAAAGCTCTATAGTTATTGGAGCACAATGTTTTTAGATTTGAACATAAAATTCGAGCAATTAATTTTTTTAACATAAAACTATCCACGGAAATGAGTGAATTTTATCATTAGTGTAGATGAATCTCATTAAATATAATATCTTCTTTTACTTTTTTCACACATTCCTCCTTTCAAGTCTATAAAATAAATGTAATTCTATCTGTAAACTTTTTCATACGAAAAAAATAAACATTGAAATTGATGTATTATAAGCATTAAATAATATTTTTCATTATTTTTAACATTTATTATACAATGTTTCACTTAAAATCTGCACTCAGTCTCTATTTTAAGCTTTAACCACTTAATCAACATAACGTGAGGGTACCCAAATTGCACCTATTTTGACAGTTTTTTCACCTACCTCTATCTATGATCCAGACAAAAGTTTCCATACTGTGTTTATTTTGCAGATGTATCTTTATTTACTATATAGTTCCACCAATTTAATTTTGAATCCATATTGAATCATAGAAATATGGGTTTGAACCGACCTCCAAATGATCCATGATTTTGTAATGAGGAGTACCCTAATTGCATCCATGCTTAAATTCACATCCGTAAAAATCTAATAACTGATGTTTTGTTTTATTTCTCCGAATATTTAGAACAATTTGACAATAGTCCATGCTTACCATTCATTTTTTAAGAAATGGATGCCTGTAACATACTTTAATTGTTCATTTTTAAAAAATGACTTTTTGAGAAACGTCGCGACCTTTCTGTAGATTTTACTTTTTCCAGTGAATACTTCATCTGTTGATATATAATGTGAATGTGTTTTGTGTATATTTAAATATATTTAGCTATGTTAAAAGATGTGCATAATGTCAAATCATAAAAATACAAACTGTTTAGTCTTTAAGAAAACTTGTAACATTTCCGCTGCTATTTTTGCTAAATGGGTGCAATTTGGGTACTCGATGCAATTTGGGTACTGTGACGTTAATGACATATATAAAACATAATCCACACTCTGTCTCTATTTTAAGCTTTGATCACTTAATCCACATAATGACATATATAATATATACTACACAAAACTTAAAGCTATGGATAAAAATAATTTCATTCATCTACTGTTAACAAAAACAACATTGAACATGCATAGAATACAATACCAATATACATAACACTATATAAAAATGTAAATTCATATCTTACACTTCAAGTTTGTTAAGAGTGAACATATATACAAAACAATTTAACAACTGAACTACACCTTATGTCTGTTCATTTTTTTTTTATATAAAAGCCGTCATAGAAAAATAATCTTTTTGTTTCATAATAATTTTAGATTATCGATGGGTTTTCAAACGAGAGGATGTTTCTCAGCTACAATCTCATCAAAGGGCAACACCCTGAGATGAGATGTGGCCGAGAAACATCCTCGAGTTTGAAAGACCATTGAAAATCTGTTTATCGCTATTTTGCCTATGACATCATTGATGTTTACATTGACAACGTCACATGCGCTCCCTTAGTTTCTGACGCTAATTTTCTATCTCAAGCCAGTAGCATGATATGAAAAATTATCACAAAAAAAGATCAAAGGAAAAATGCGCAAAATAACGATAATGCATTCTTATTCTTGGTTTGTTCATTATCAATGTAAATATTCAATGAGATCAAAATATACTATTTATATTTACAGGGTATACGCACATCATACAATGCAGGTGCAACCTAAAAACTGTAATGAACACAGCTTATGAGCAACAAGGAAGAAAGATCAAATTCAAGGTAAAAAGTATTGTACTGAGTTATGTCTCTTAGAATGTAATCACACTACAATTTAAAGAGGTTCTGGATTGGGGGTCCTTCATTTCTGTATTTTTTAATTTTTTAGGCCATTTTTCTCAATTCTTTATATTTTTTGCCCATTATTCTTTATTCTTTATATTTTAGCACCTCATTATTCTCTATTCTTTATTTTTTTGGTCCATTTTTCTCTATTCCTTTTATTTTTTGCCCATCATTCTCTATTCTGTAAATGCCCATCCACACCCTCTTTAAAGAGAAGTAGCACTATCATCTAAAACCTCAATTACTGCCTCAAATGACACATGTAGCTTTTTTTCAAAATATTATGATTTTACATGCATGTTCTTTCTTAATTAGGAATATTGTCTATTTTTGCACCTAGGCAGTATGATCATATAATAATCAATCTTAATTCTGAAAGAACAATTTGCAGAATTTTTGTAATGTAAATAAATGTTTGTACTATTTTCATTTTAGTTTTTTTGGTTTGCAATATTTAATATAATAATTTATTGAAATTTTTTATTCTCTTTAAGATATATATATAAATATACAATTTTGTTCTAAAATACTGTTGAACTATATGCTTAATATTTAAATAAAAAAAAAATAAAAATGAACACAGTCCTTCACAATATCTGTTGATTATAATTCTACATTTTGTTTTATTATAAAAATATCTGCATAAGTTGATATCTAAGAAAGACATAATTATGTATTTGAAATTTGGTGTTCATCAGAAACTTAAAAATCAACTTTTGGGTCACATGATCACTTCTTATCCAATCAGATTGCAAAAATTTTAACATAGATACATATCACAAAATTGTATCAAAATAAAAGTAAAATCTACAAGTGTCAAGAATTGCATTTCCAACCAATATAAATGAAAAAAAATGATAATGTTATAAGGGATGAAATATAAGAGTTCAAAAGTGGAAAAGTATAAAGTGTCATTTGAAACTTTGACTGTCTTCAAATTATACACATTGTCTGCATATTAATGAACATTTCATATCTTACAGGCATATTGCAATGTATCTACAAATTTTATAAACTTTTGCTATTTGCAGTTACCAGTTACCATTTGAGCAATATGGCAGCCATAACAATCTCAAGATTACACAATACACATAAATCTGCTTTTGAGCACATTAAAATATTGTTTATCTTAGCTTATTTTGTAATTAATTTCATTAGAATGTTGTTTTTTTTCTAATATTCATGTGTAAACTAGGCTATCCATAAACATATACTTCACATAAATAGTAAGTTTGTGAGCTTCAAAGCCAGTTTTCACATTATTGTTCTATTCACAATATAAACATGTTAAATCCTATCATTTAAATGAAACATTTAAAATATTTCGTGGTAAGACATGACCTTACATGCCCTTCAAACGGTTTATACAAATAAAAATGGATGATCTGTAAGACTTACATTTAAAAATCCGGCCAAATTGAAAATTTTGAATAATCTGGTGCTGGCTGCTATGAGTCTGGCAGGCATTTATTTGTCTTTAAATGTTTTATCCCTTTCTAAAATTGTAATTTTAAATTACACTTGCTCATGCAATTTTGGAAAAGTTCTATTAATGCAGTACTAAATTCTCTTTAATTTAAGCACTATTTCAAACCTTAGTATAACACAAAGTTGACAATTTCAATAGTTATCAGTACAGGACTTTTTCTCGACTGTGTGATCTTATACACTGATCTACTGCATCTAATACTTCTGCAGCTGCTTCGTTGATAACTTGGGATAAAATCTTAGGTGTCATCTGATGAATTTTGAAATCTGATAAGTTAAATCCATCCTCTTCAACCTGCTTCATTACCTGTAATTAGTAAAAGTTTATTTAGTTATATAAGCCTTCAACATTTTTTTCCCAGTTTGTTCAACTCTTTGTCTAATTTTAAACAAGGTTTAAATATCGTTACAACCTGTTCAAATTAAACACTTCATTATTTTCTGTAGTTTATTCTATGTTTACTTTAATCCTTGTTAAAGCCTTAATTAAATGATAAAAATTTAACCTAGCTGCTTACCTTGGTTGAAATTATAACCAAGAAATACTGTTCCAACTAGATTTAAAAGGTTTTTTTAAAAACAGTTTATTACAACCTTTTATTTGGCTATCAGCAATAAAAAAAATTTATATTTTGCAGTCCTTTCCACATTATTTGCATTGAGATTAACGCTAAAATCTGTACCATAGCATTATAATCGGATCAACATGTTTATACCGATGTCTTTTATGTCCAAAAAGAAGTAGCTACATTTAGCATGTGTAGTAAGATGGTGTATGCATTTATAATCAATGCAAGTACAATTCAACAATAAATGCTTCTTTTTCAAAACAAAAGGTGCTCTCTGTCACAACCATTAAATCATACTTATAAATAATTTTCAAACTTGCTATACAGTATGGGTTTTGCTCAAGTCATTTTCTAATGCTGTATGGCAACATATAGTTGCTTACACCCTCATACTTTGTTGAATGGCAGATTATTGTCTCATTTGCAATCATACCACATCTCCTTATTTTTATATTTGATTTTGAATATGTTTTATTTATTCAAGCAATCATATTTTCAACCAAAACGTTTTCTAGGACATGAGGAAAGTGTTGGTAATTCTTTATCTTGATGAAAGTAAACATTTAGTGAAACGTTACCATGGGTTAATATCCAAAGGTTAAAAAAGATGTTGAGCAACAGAATTGTTAGCCTTGGTATAATAACCATTGGTTTAAAGATTTAAGCAAAGGATGAAGGGTGTCCATGATTGAATTTTATGTTGAAAGTCTTTAGATTAATGTTTTACTACATTTATCACATAAAATTAACTAACATTATCAAGATCTATAAAAACAAGTTCATGGTTATATGAACCTTGCCAGACAGACATGTACACCAAATGAACATTCGATAGACGAATATAATTGACCTATGGCTTAATCTGAGAAACAATCATTACCACAAAAAATCAAGCTTGACCAATGAACCATAAAAAAGAGGTTAAGGTCAAATAAACCTTGCCTGATGGACATATTCACCTGGCCCAAGACCACAATTAATGACCCATATTTTTATTGTTCACAAATAGTTTTCTGTAGTTTTTTTCGTCTTTACTTTTTTCTTTCCCTTTCTCATTCATTACTCAGTTTTTATTTAAAATTTTGCCAAAAAAAACCAAATTAAATTTTTTAATCTGACAAAATGTTATAAAAAACTAATAGGGAAACTAATTGTGGTCTCTGGTCACCTCACAATCATTCAATGTGCAAAATGTTATTGTCCTGTTACTCATAATAATTGGACACATGAAAAACTGGCACTGCCAACTGATGATCCTTGAACTGCAAATTTATAGAGAGAAATATTTTTTTATTTCCAGTATACTAGTACGCTTGGAAGGACAAATAAAACATTTTGTACTATATTGCTTGTTTTTCATCTGTAATAAATTGTTACAATTCATAATAGGATACTGGAGTTTTTCTTCAAAAACAATGACTAGTAAGCAAGTATCAGGGATTAAAAATAGTCAGATCTCTAGAAACCAAAATTGTTATCAATACTTTCTCCAGGATCCTAATATACATTATAAACCTTTTCGTGGCATATACTGAAAAGATTGATGTATATGTCCTTTAAACACACAAAAATATTAAGTGTTTATTTCCATTAAGTACTTTGTGACGTGAAAGTTTCATAATGAATGAAAGTTAAACAAGAACATTTTGAAGGAAATGGATACTTTAACATACGTTTAATTTAAGTGGGTTTTTTCTTATTATTATGTTTTCATCAATCTAACATTATTCTGGGAAACTGAGTTTGTCTGCCTATATATACAATGATTTCATCTTATACGAGACATTTTCTACATCAGAGTTAACAGGATCTGGTAGTTTATGTTCTAAGAGAAAATAAGTAAATTACTGCAGTTTAATTAGAAGGTAAGTAAAGTCAATATGAGTTAAGATAACAAATAAATTCAGGGCTGCACTGATACATACATGTATAATAATAAGAAGATGTGGTATGATTTCCAATGAGACAACTCTCCACCAGAGACCAAATGATGTAGATGGTTTGTTTCAGTTTAATTACATTACATAGCAGTTCCTTACTATTGCCTAATTTTGATTGGCAGAGGCATTCTAAAAGTTATATTTTATTTCTCTATAAAATGGAACATCTATGACTGCACAATTGCTCTCTTTGACAATGTTAAAACAATGCATAGAAAAATAAATACAAGGCTTGATTTAACTTGTTATGTCATGGCTACGGCTTAAAACGGAAGATATAAGAAATGAATGCTTTTTTTTGTAATTTTACACATTGTTAAAGGTCAATAAATTATGTGGTTTTTATAATTTAAAAAAAATTGAAATGTCTAACAAAAGTATTTCAGCAGAAATTTGAAGTGAGTTGCTCTATTTGTTTCAAAAATACTTTTGTGGGGATTATTTTACTAAAAAAAACTAGAGGCCCTTAAGAGCCAGTGTCGCTCACCTTGGTCTATGTGCATATCAAACAAAGGACACAGATGGATTCATGACAAAATTGTGTTTCGGTGATGGTGATGTGTTTGTAGATCTTACTTTACTGAACATTCTTGCTCCTTACTATTATCTCTATCTATAATGAACTTGGCCCAGTAGTTACAGTGGAAAATATTATGTAAAAATTTACAAAAATTTACAAAATTTATGAAAATTGTAAAAAATTGACTATAAAGGGCAATAACTCCTTAAGGGGTCAACTGACCATTTTGGTCAAGATGACTTATTTGTAGATCTTACTTTGCTGAACATTATTGCTGTTAACAGTTTATCTCTATCTATAATAATATTCAAGATAAAAACCAAAAATGGCAAAATTTCCTTAAAATTACCAATTCAGGGGCAGCAACCCAACAACAGGCTGTCCGATTCATCTGAAAATTTCAGGGCAGATAGATCTTGACCTGATAAACAATTTTACCCCTGTCAGATTTGCTCTAAATGCTTTAGTTTCAGAGATATAAGCCAAAATCTACATTTTACCCCTATGTTCTATTTTTAGCCATGGTGGCCATCTTGGTTGGTTGGCCAGGTCACCGGACACATTTTTTAAACTAGATACCCCAATGATGATTGTGGCCAAGTTTGGTTAAATTTGGTCAAGTAGTTTCAGAGGAGAAGATTTTTGTAAAAGATTAAAAAATATTATGAAAAATGGTTAAAAATTGACTATAAAGGGCAATAACTCCTTAAGGGGTCAACTGACCATTTTGGTCAAGTTGACTTATTTGTAGATCTTACTTTGCTGAACATTATTGCTGTTTACAGTTTATCTCTATCTATAATATATTCAAGATAATAACCAAAAACGGCAAAATTTCCTTAAAATTACCAATTTAGGGGCAGCAACCCAACAACAGATTGTCCGATTCATCTGAAAATTTCAGGGCAGATAGATCTTGACCTGATAAACAATTTTACACCCATGTCAGATTTGCTCTAAATGCTTTGGTTTCAGAGATATAAGCCAAAATCTACATTTTACCCCTATGTTCTATTTTTAGCCATGGCGGCCATGTTGGTTGGTTGGCCGGGTCACCGGAAACATTTTTTAAACTAGATACCCCAAGGATGATTGTGGCCATGTTTGGTTAAATTTGGCCAAGTAGTTTCAGAGGAGAAGATTTTTGTAAAAGTTAATGACGACGGACGACGGACGCCAAGTGATGAGAAAAGCTCACTTGGCCCTTTGGGCCAGGTGAGCTAAAAATCAATCTTTTTATACATGTTTTAAGAAAGGGTAAACTATCTGGTGCTCCAGTGTTTATTTTAAAGGAATATCATAAGAAAATCAACACTAATCATTACAAGGATAAACAAATATCTAGACTATTATACAGTACCAGAAACCAGAAACCATTTCAAGGATAAAAATCAATCTAGACAAGTATACAGTACCTGATCCAGAAACCATTACAAGTATAACATGTATAAACAAATATCTAGACTATCATTTATATATATAAATATATATATACAGTTCCAGAAAACTAAAACCATTACAAGCATAAACAAATATCTAAACTATCATATAGTACCAGAAACCATTACAAGGATAGACAAATATCTAGACCATCATACAGCACCAGATACCATTACAAGGATAAAAGACTATCTAGACTATCATACAGTACCATCCAGAAACCATTACAAGGATAGAGAGAATATCTAGACAATTATACAATACCATCTAGAAACCATTACAAGGATAGAGAGAATATCTAGACTATCATACAGTACCATCCAGAAACCATTACAAGGATAGAGAGAATATCTAGACTATTATACAGTACCATCCAGAAACCATTACAAGGATAGAGAGAATATCTAGACTATTATACAGTACCATCCAGAAACCATTGCAAGGATAGAGAGAATATCTAGACTATCATACAGTACCATCCAGAAACCATTACAAGGATAGAGAGAATATCTAGACAACTATACAATACCATCCAGAAATCATTACAAGGATAGAGTGAATATCTAGACTATTATACAATACCATCCAGAAACCATTACAAGGATAGAGAGAATATCTAGACTATCATACAATACCATCCAGAAACCATTACAAGGATAGAGAGAATATCTAGACTATCATACAGTACCATCCAGAAACCATTACAAGGATATAGAGAATATCTAGACAATTATACAATACCATCCAGAAACCATTACAAGGATAGAGAGAATATCTAGACTATTATACAATACCATCCAGAAACCATTACAAGGATAGAGAGAATATCTGGACTATTATACAATACCATCCAGAAACCATTACAAGGATACAGAGAATATCTAGACTATTATACAATACCATCCAGAAACCATTACAAGGATAGAGAGAATATCTAGACAATTATACAATACCATCCAGAAACCATTACAAGGATAGAGAGAATATCTAGACTATCATACAGTACCATCCAGAAACCATTACAAGGATAGAGAGAATATCTAGACTATTATACAATACCATCCAGAAACCATTACAAGGATAGAGAGAATATCTGGACTATCATACAATACCATCCAGAACCCATTACAAGGATAGAAGGATATCTAGACTATCATACAATACCATCCAGAAACCATTACAAGGATAGAGAGAATATCTAGACAATTATACAGTACCATCCAGAAACCATTACAAGGATAGAGAGAATATCTAGACAATTATACAATACCATCCAGAAACCATTACAAGGATAGAGAGAATATCTAGACAATTATACAATACCATCCAGAAACCATTACAAGGATACAGAGAATATCTAGACTATCATACAATACCATCCAGAAACCATTACAAGGATACAGAGAATATCTAGACTATTATACAATACCATCCAGAAACCATTTCAAGGATAGAGAGAATATCTAGACTATTATACAGTACCATCCAGAAACCATTACAAGGATAGAGAGAATATCTAGACTATCATACAATACCATCCAGAAACCATTACAAGGATAGAGAGAATATCTAGACTATTATACAATACCATCTGGAAACCATATACATGCAGACATCTTATATGTTCGGGTATTTCACATCCAATATTTTATGGTAATATTCTTTACAAAGCACAAAAATGTTGGCATTCACCTCAAAAGCTAACCAAACCTTTAAACAGACTTATTCGGAAAGGATATAGTTATGATACTGTTGTCAAGTCATTAAAGATTGCATATTTTGGTATAAATATTGATTCACTCATAGGGTCTTTGCATCAGAAATAAACACATTTGTTCTAAAACCAGTTATTGGCATAATACAGGTTATGTTCTTCTCATATATTTTATGATGGTATGATATTAAACCCCTTACGGGAGGGATTGTACTTGATTTTCATATGATGAAGACATAATCTTTCAATCAGTTTAATTGAGGTCTGGAGCTGGCATGTCAGTAACTGCTAGTAGTCCTTTGTTTATTTATGTATCATTGTCATTTTGCTTAGTTTCTTTTGTTACCTATTCTGACATCGGACTCTGACTTCTTTTGAACTGAGTTTTACTGTGCGTATTGCTATGTTTTTCTTTATTGTACATTGGCTAGAGGTATAGGGGAAGGGTTGAGATCTCACAAAACATGTTTAACCCCGCCGCATTTTTGCGCCTGTCCCAAGTCAGGAGCCTCTGGCCTTTGTTAAGTCTTGTATGTTTTTTAATTTTAGTTCATTTATATGTTTTGGAGTTAAGTGTGACGTCCTTTTTCACTGAACTAGTACACAATTTTATTTAGGGGCCAGCTGAGGACCACCTCCGGGTGCGGGATTTTCTCCCTGCATTTAAGACCCATTGGTGGCCTTTGGCTGTTGTCTGCACTTTGGTCGGGTTGTTGTCTCTTTGACATATCCCATTTCCATTCTCAATTTTATATTATACAGTACCATAAAAAAAAACCATTACAAGGATAGAGAGAATATCTAAGACTATTATACAATACCATCCAGAAACCATTACAAGGATAGAGCTAGAGAATATCTAGACAATTATACAGTACCATCCAGAAACCATTACAAGGATATAAGGGAATATCTAGACAATTATACAGTACCATCCAGAAACCATTACAAGGATACAGAGAATATCTAGACTATTATACAATACCATCCAGAAACCATAACAAGGATATAGAGAATATCTAGACTATCATACAGTACCATCCAGAAACCATTTCAAGGATAGAGAGAATATCTAGACTATCATACAGTACCATCCAGAAACCATTACAAGGATACAGAGAATATCTAGACTATTATACAATACCATCCAGAAACCATTACAAGGATAGAGAGAATATCTAGACAATTATACAGTACTATCCAGAAACCATTACATGGATAGAGAGAATATCTAGACAATTATACAGTACCATCCAGAAACCATTACATGGATAGAGAGAATATCTAGACAATTATACAGTACCATCCAGAAACCATTACAAGGATAGAGAGAATATCTAGACTATCATACAGTACCATCCAGAAACCATTACAAGGAAAGAGAGAATATCTAGACAATTATACAATACCATCCAGAAACCATTACAAGGATAGAGAGAATATCTAGACTATCATACAGTACCATCCAGAAACCATTACAAGGATAGAGAGAATATCTAGACTATCATACAGTACCATCGAGAAATCATTACAAGGATACAGAGAATATCTAGACTATTATACAGTACCATCCAGAAACCATTACAAGGATAGAGAGAATATTTAGACTATCATACAGTACCACCCAGAAACTATTACAAGGATAGAGAGAATATCTAGACAATTATACAGTACCATCCAGAAACTATTACAAGGATAGAGAAAATATCTAGACTATCATACAGTACCATCCAGAAAACATTGAATGGATAGAGAGAATATCTAGACTATCATACAGTACTATCTAGAAACCATTACAAGGATAGAGAGAATATCTAGACAATTATACAGTACCATCCAGAAACTATTACAAGGATAGAGAAAATATCTAGACTATCATACAGTACCATCCAGAAAACATTGAATGGATAGAGAGAATATCTAGACTATCATACAGTACTATCTAGAAACCATTACAAGGATAGAGAGAATATCTAGACAATTAAACAGTACCATCCAGATACCATTTAAAGGATAAAAGACTATCTAGACAATAATACTTTGTATAATGATACCATACATATATTATGAAGTTTCCATTTTCATGGATCAGGGAATATAAACTATACATATATATATATATATATGATCCAAGAAAATGAGGAACTTCGTAACATATGTATGGTATCATTATACAAAGTATGAAGCATACAGGTATTTCCATCTTCTGAAGTATACAAATAGTTTACTCTGCCACACTGCCGAGGGATTAGCCAATGAGACAACTAATAGCATACCTATGTCTAGCATTCTGTGGTTTACTAAATAGTTTACTCTGCCACACTGCAGAGGGATTAGCCAATGAGCCAACTATTAGCATAACTATTTCTAGCATTCTGTGGTTTACTGAATAGTTTACTCTGCCACATTGCAGAGGGATTAGCCAATGAGCCAACTATTAGCATACCTATGTCTAGCATTCTGTGGTTTACTAAATAGTTTACTCTGCCACACTGCAGAGGGATTAGCCAATGAGCCAACTATTAGCATACCTATGTCTTGCATTCTGTGGTTTACCAAATAGTTTACTCTGCCACACTGCAGAGGGATTAGCCAATGCAACAACTATTAGCATACCTATGTCTAGCATTCTGTGGTTTACCATGTACTTCTTTTAATGGTTTTGTTCTTCCCAAAGGATCTAATGTTTTGGTTAAGATATTCCTTATTTGTTTCATTAAACTTTTGTTAAAAATATACATCCTTTCAAATTCTCATTTATATAACAAAAATCAGTAAAATACTGTTCAATATGGGCCAAATACTGATCTGTTTATCTCATAGTTAATCCTATTCTATAGTTTAAATAGTCCATGTAATTTTTCACACAATCCTCCCTTTTTGTATTATTTTGTATGAAGAAATCAAATCTGACATATATTGAGCTCCATTGATGTGTCTTATGATTATAAAACGCACATCTGGTGTACAAAATTGTAAGCTTGGTATCTTTGATGAGCTATTTTTATTTAGTATATACTAAGTAGTAAATACAGGTAAATTGTATGTGTAAAACAATTGATGACAATCGTGCTGCATCAGCCATCCATGCTGATATCAATATCAGTCATGATTGCAAAGGCTTTATCAAACCCCTAATCTGTATGACGTCACGTAATCGATATCAGTCATGGTTACAAAAGCTTTATCACACCCCATTATATGTATTATGTAATGTCTAGAAAATACATAAAAGAGATTAGTTGTACTTGAGGTACATGTATATAATAAAGTGTATATAATATGGCTTTTCAATATCACACACCGTATCAACCCTCAACCAATATAATCCCTCGAGCAGAGCTCTTGGGACTATATTGGTGTCTCGGGTTGATACAGGTGTGATATTGAAAAAGCCATATGATATTCTCTATATCATATTATATTATCTATTTAAGTGCTGAGATAAAGGTTCCCCCTTTTTACTACAATATGTGACAGTTAATTGTCACTAACCATACCTCTTCTCCAAGACCACATATGGACCATTTACTTTTTCCGGGATAATGACACTTGAAACATGACATCATTTTATATACAATATTAGGAAACTGGCAGTTGAACAAGTATGGAAGTAATTCAACACTCAAATCTTGGAAACTACCATCAGCACCAAACTGGATCATATGTCCTTTAAAAAGAAATAATAAACTGTACAACTCTCCCCTTCTAAAAACGGTGAAAAGATTTAATTTTCATGTACATTTTGAGCAATCTTGTAAATTAATTTTCATATAAATGAAAGAAGTCATATAGTCTATATATAGCAATTCTAAGCTACAAAAGATTTTTGTTAGAAGTACAAATTTAAAGGAAATTTGTTAGTATAAACTTTTCTCATCACTTGGCGTCCAGTGTCTGTCATTGTCATCAGTCATGGTCTGTTAACGTTTATAAAAAATCTTCTCCACCGAAAAATACTGGGCCTGGGGTACATGTATATACAATCGAACCTTGTTGTGTCGAAGTCAAAGGGGCCGTACCAAAGTATTGGACTTATCCGAGGTTCCACTCATCCGAGGTCGAGTGTGTCGTCATAAATTTGGAATGCATGAAATACGATATAAAATTTGTGTAAACTAGATACTAGGAACAGTGTGCCTTTTTTCGATATGACACTTTATGATTGTGTATTCCATCTCCATATTTTTTGGTCCTTCATAATAATTAAACACACAACGTCACAAGTACAGATACAAATCATGCACAAATGAAATCAATAGTATACACAAATATTTACAAAGGTCAGTCACTTTAAATTATGAAATCACTCGCGGAACGAAAAAAGTTCTGAGCGGTCTCTGGTGAGGTCGTCTGCTTTACATTAAATTATTATGAATTTATCATAATTGTCTAAATCCTTTTATTTATTGTAATTAATGAATTTTAATTCTAACGATTCATTTAATCTCGGCTTGAGTCATTTAAATTAGTTTTGTTTTTATGTCAGGTGAAATATGTTCAACACACTAATGTTCCACTTGAACGATCAATAAAGGTGTTAACTACTGGTCACCATAAACATGTCATTTTAACTGTTATACAAACAAGTATGTTTACTCAGCTTTAATCTCTTTTGAAATGATTAGGTTACATAAGAAATACATTCGATTTGAATTTTCATCATTAGGTCTGCATTTTTCAAAAATTCTTACTTTGTAACTTCAAGACATCAGGGCCAATTTACATTAATTTTACATTGACAGGACTATGAAATTTACTTGACTTAACCGATTATTCGAATCAACCGAGTTCGACTCATCAGAGGTAATTATGCATTGACCAAACCGGAATTTTACTGGGACCGAGAAATTACTTCGACTCATCCAAGTTTTCGACACAACCAAGTTCGACACAAAGAGGTTTGACTGTAGTTCAAAATGACCCAGCCTGCCAACTAGCATGGCTAAAAATAGAACATAGGGATAAAATGCAAGTTTTGTCATTTATCTTGGAAACAACTTTAGAGAAAATCTGATAGGGCAGAAATGTTCTGAATGTTAAGATCTAACTACTGTCCATTTACATCAAAACTGTCACATTACTTCTTTTAGGTTTTATTGCCCTGAAATGACAAATACCAATTTTTAAAAAAAAATTTTGCCTATATATAGCTATTACCTTGAAAATCATAATGATTAGCAAGACAAGATCTACAAATAAGTTTAATGGCCGAAATAGTAAGTGGAAATTATTTTATAATATTTATTGCCATAAAAAAATTTGTATAATGTCAATAGATAAGAAATCATTTAAAAACATCAGAAATGTAAATTACCTTTGTATGCATATGGTGTTTCTTTGATATGATAAATCTTTGCTAGGTACCATAATAGGACATATTCTACTTGCATCTTCTCCTGTCGAGTAAATTCCTTTATTTCCTGGACAACTGATCTCTGTTCATTTATCAGAAGGTTTTCTTGTTTCAAGACTGCAGGGATAGGACATGTCAATACACCTGTCAAATACGATTTCATAAACATTAATTCATTCAAAAGAATTGACTATGACCTTAATTTGTTCTGAAATAGGTATAAAAAAGTTTGAATAAAGTTATTTTGCTGTTTCTTGGTGGTATAAGATGTTTAATGAAAGAAGAATGTGTCTGAGGACACGAATGACCCCGTTCAAGATTTGCAATGAAAATGGGGCAGACGGACGGACGGAAAGACAGAAGGACAGAAAGATGGATGGTCAAGGGTAACACTTAATGCCCCTTCGCGTTTGACGGGGGCATAATAAAAAAATATATTGATAGAAAATGCAAATGCAGCATTATTTTCTTCATTTGCATAAAGTAGGAACAAATAATGATATAATTTTGTCGTTATTACAATGAACATCTTGAAATATCTTTATTTTATACCCATCCTTTGAAAATGGGCAGATTTGACATAGTTCTGAAAACATTTCATTTTCTTGGCCAAAAACAAGCCTCAAATGACCCTTCTTATTTGTATGACATTATGTTGTTCATATAGAAAAAAGAATGCATTCATATATAGCAATAAAGATTATGTAGAATGTGTTATAGGTTATTATATGTTTTTTGTAAAATAAGATTAAAACCTTGAACTAAAGCCAATGCCCCAATGTACTGACTAGTTTTAAGGAAATCACTTCAAACAATCCTCATGGAACTATTGACAATTAATTCAATGCACTGACTTTACCTTTAACTTCTGTATGAGGAGCTACAAGGTCTAAATCTATCTTTGTTTGAGACTTACCTTTAATTTCTGTATGAGGAGCAACAAGGTCTAAATCTATCTTTGTTTGAGACCTTACCTTTAATTTCTGTATGAGGAGCAACAAGGTATAAATCTATCTTTGTTTGAGACTTACTTTTAATTTCTGTATGAGGAGCAACAAGGTATAAATCTATCTTTGTTTGAGACCTTACCTTTAATTTCTGTATGAGGAGCAACAAGGTCTATATCTATCTTTGTTTGAGACCTTACCTTTAATTTCTGTATGAGGAGCAACAAGGTATAAATCTATCTTTGTTTGAGACCTTACCTTTAATTTCTGTATGAGGAGCAACAAGGTCTAAATCTATCTTTGTTTGAGACCTTACCTTAAATTTCTGTATGAGGAGCTACAAGGTCTAAATCTATCTTTGTTTGAGACTTACCTTTAACTTCTGTGTGAGGAGCTACAAGGTCTAATCTATCTTTGTTTGAGACCTTACCTTTAATTTCTGTATGAGGAGCAACAAGGTATAAATCTATCTTTGTTTGAGACCTTACCTTTAATTTCTGTATGAGGAGCAACAAGGTCTAAATCTATCTTTGTTTGAGACCTTACCTTTAATTTCTGTATGAGGAGCAACAAGGTCTAAATCTATCTTTGTTTGAGACCTTACCTTTAATTTCTGTGTGAGGAGCTACAAGGTCTAATCTATTTTTCCATGTATCGTCACCTCTAACAATATCAACTTCATTCCTTGTCATGTACCAAACTATGCTGGGAGGAGTGTGGTATATCTACAAGTCAAAGAATATACTTAAATACAAACATTAAAAGTAGTCTAACCAATTTTCGTGGATTTTCTTAGGGAAAAGTTGAACCACAAATTTAAATGTTTAATGAAGTACAAATTTTCTTTAGATTTGTATGTATACTTTGGAGAAACCATAAAATCAAAAATATCCACAAAAAATATAGTTTTTTTCTAAATACATGAAAATTGGTAACCACAAAAAAAATTAATCCACATTAAACTGGCATTACAAAAAATCTTTGATCCTAGCTACATTTGAGGTTCGCAACCATATATTCTATAAATTTAAGAAGAATATATATATGTTAATTTCCATTATTGACTCACAAGGAGCAAAGTAAAATATAACGTTTTATTTTAGACAAAAACACTAAGGTGCAAAAAGATGAGGTTCAAAAATATTTCACAGATTCCTATGTAAAACAATACACTACAATGGAAGGTATATGCATCAAATAAATATTAAACTATCACTGAAGAGTATATGTTGTCCTCTATATTTGTAGCTCGTGGTTTTTTTGGGGTTGCAGTCTCAAGAACACTAACCCTTTCGCTTGGACGTTTTTAAAATGAACTTTGCTTCACATACAGTAAATATCTCTTAAATGGTCCAAAAGATTTCAGAAAACATCAGAAACAGCATTTTCTGACACAAGATCTGTTATGATGATGTTATACCTTCATACAATTGAATGTAAAGGATCCTAAATAAAGAGCTGTGCCATGAGCACATGATACACATGTCGCTTTTTCAATGAATAAAGTTCTACAACTCCTCAATATTAATGTTATAGCAGACATTTATAAAAAAAACTAAAAGGAGCTAATTTTAATAGATATAAACCAGCCACTAAAGTTTCATGAAAACTGCTCAAAGCATTTTTGAGTATTGTCTGAAAAGTGGAAAATCCCCCCTTTTAAACAGCAAGGAGGTGGTTTTAATTGAATAGTGTTTTGTGTATTTTGCTTCAATCTAAGTAGTACCTACCCCTAACAATCTATCCAGTTTATAAACAGTATAATGAGCAATATGAAACTAAGACTGCCCAATTTTGCAAAGTACACGGAAGTAGTTTTAACTGAAGACATTTTTGAGTATTGTGTTCTAAGCTATTTAGAACATACCCCAAATTATTTAGTACCTACCAAAAATTTATTAGTACTATTTAGTACCTACCCATAACTATTTAGTACTTACCCCTAACAATCTATCCAGTTTATAAACAATATAATGAGCAATATGAAACTGAGATGGCCCAATTTCTGCCAAGTACAAGGCATTCTTAAGTTTACTGTCCTTGTCAGCTCCAATCATTGTTACATTAAACCTGCCACCAACTGTGCTGGGAGATGTAAAGTCATTCAGTCCCTCGTGACTAACTATCTTCTGCCATTTCATTTTCTGTATCCAATCAGCTTCTGTGTAAGCTAGAAATCAAATTATAATTACTGATGTTACATTACATATACAGAGGGATTGAGTTAAGAATCTCCCTCTGTCAATGCTGGGGAATAGGGGTGATCCAATCTGCTTCTGTGTAAGCTAGAAGTTAAATGATGAGTTATCTACCTTTAAGTGGCTAAATTGAAAAATTGATTTGAACAAAAACAAATACTTGGTATTTGCTAAAACAGTATAAATAATACAACAAATTACTTATTTTTCTTTTATAAAAATAAACAGTCTCACACATTTATTGCCAGGATGTCTCAAAATTACAGATTTAAGCAAAGAACTAGACCAATTGTGTACTGCTAAAAAGCCTATTTTACAATCTATGATGGCAGTATACACTTAATCTTCCTTAAAAAGCACAAATAAAAATATTGTAAAAGATATAGCAAAAAATTTCTCACATTTTAGTCCAAGATGTGCCATCAGTCGTCTTTCTCTGCTTTTTCTAGCATCTTTTGCAGAGTCATCAATACGAGCTTTGCATTCTGGAAAATCAGCAGGTGCAGGTTTCAGATCACTGGATTCTCCATTGGCTACATTTCTTTCTGCCCTCTGCTCCACAGCTTTATTAGGTAAACTAACTTGAAGATTTTGATTACTTTGTCCCATCTCATCTCTTGGTGTATACAGAAAGAGAGTAGCACCCACATTCTTTTCTGGTGAACCTAACCGAGAGTTCTTTAATACCATTGTCATCAATACTGAAAAATATAATGGTTATTATTAGGCAGATAAGAAAAGATTCTAGTATCTAGATGTTTTGTAAAAAGATTGTGCATTTTAATTTTCTTCTCTTGTTAATACAGAAATGTTGTCAGAAAATTCAGAAGAAATCATTAATATAAATGTTTAAAATGAATCATCAACAAAATTTTATTTTCAAGCGTATACCAATTTATTGACAAACCCTTATTTGAAGGTATAAAAACGTACAATTATCCTTCCTTGTGTAATGACAAAGAAAAATAATTTTACCTATTTTTCATTAAATCTTTATATTTAACCTTATGATAAATTTTCTTCTCTAGATGGCAAACTTATAAATCACTGTAACCCATTTATAAATTACACTCATGACTTTCAATTGGGTCCATCAAAGTCTAACACATTCTGTTTGTCAATGACATCTTATGGACCACTTTCGAGTTCGTTGCATTTCCTTAAAAAACTTTAGTTTTAGTGAACATCATTCATGCGTTTAGGGGCATCGTCACTTCCTTTCCATATTGAGCGAGTGGTTGAAAAAATATGATGCTATATTGCACAAATTATTTGGCAAATTAAACTTTTATAATTGATAATTAGCACTGCTCTGTCATAAGGGAATTGTGATTAAGTACCTACAGAACAATCATTATTTTAGTTTATTCTGAATGATGATGATCACGAAGATGCTTGATGAACTTTAATAGTGCAGAGATATATGAGATCCCCTCTATCTGATAAATAATGTTCTAAAGGCTCGCATAAGTGACAAACTTTTCCGGTGAAGGACGTAACTCTAAAGTGGTCTATTGTAATTAACTTTCTTCGTTTGCCATGATTTTGTCTGTATCATTTTGACTTATGCATTTGGATTCTTGATTCTCTCTTTTTTTTCTTAATGTTATCAAATGAACAAAAGTCCATATTTTACTTATTAGTCTACCATTTATACCTGTAAAAAAGAAATGATGACTATGTTATTAAAAAAACATAAACACTGTACCTTCTGCATCTGGTTGAGAAGTGAAAAGAACAAAAGCTTGACATTTAGGTTCTGAGTTACATGTCTGTTTGGCCTCCTTCAGACTTCTTACTGTCACAACACAGCCCCAGGCTACTCGAGATAGGGGACAAGGGAAATCATACTTTCCAGGAAAGTTAGACTGAGTTACTTTCTCATAATCACCATTCTTTATCTCCAATGGTTTCTGCTAAAATAAATATTCTCTCTGAATTATCCATAGATTTCTTAATACACCAATGAATGCTATTGCTATTTTCTCAAATTTTGTGTTGATCTTTTTTCATGTGGTAATTTTTCATATTACGCTACTCCAGTGATATGGGTTTTTTTCCAGTCGAGTAGAATGGAAATGTATGACGCCATGAGCCTAAGTCATGGACTGTCTAGGAAAACAGTAATAAACAGATTTCAATAATCTTTCAAACTCAAGGATGTTTCTCTGCTACATCTCATCTCAGGACTGTCGCCCTTCGAAGAGATTGTAGCTGAGAAACACCCGGGGGCCCTCTCATTTGAAAAACCATCTATTGTAGATGAGAAACACACTCTCATTTGAAAAACCATTGATAATCTATAATTATCTACACAAACTTATCTACATTAATACATTTACCCTTTCTGAACCAGCACTAAAAGTGATCGCATTGGCTGCACTTAATCTCATGCTAAAGTTAATACCATACTGATAGATTTTTCATGTCATGTGATTAATTTTTCTTACCCTGATGTTACTATGGTCTTGTTTCCATGGAGAGTTCATTTCAAAGTTGTTTCAATATGCATTTCCTTATTAAAACACCCACTATGGTAAGAAATGAGATCTAGCCAGGGTATGTGTTGTGAGAGTCAAAATGGTATGATGACTCTCGAGTGTGATGGCATTGCTACTCTTGAGTAATAGATACTAAGCCAGCTGTAAGCGATTGAGCTAGGAAAGTACTTATTTAGCTCAGACGGTTAGAGCCCAGAATTGAAAAACAAAGGTCACAAGTTCGAGTCCCACATGAGACAATTTGTTTTTCTGATAAGAATCATGCGCACCGATTACATTTGCATCTATTTCTCTGATTTCAATTACTGTAATTTTTTCATCACTAGAATACTTTTACAAAAGGTATATAGATTCCTTAATTGGTTTAAGGCTTTCTAAATTTTATTTCAACTTAAAAATTTCATGTAAAAGTAAGATTACGCTTACCATGTGATGTGCGACTCTAAAAAAAGAGTATCTAATACCCACTGGTTTAGTGCAATATCATTCAGAAAGCAAACAAGTTTGAGAATTGTCCTCTAGATCATTCTGTTAGGATTAATAGACGTATTGATAAAGTTTATAGCTATATTCTTGTTGTGAAACCATGATATCTTATTTTGAGGTAGCTTTTAAATTTTTTATCTTGATTCATTTGTTCACAGTTTGAAATATTACTGAAATGATTCATCCCTCTTGTGTTCTGTGCTCTGTATTGACCTTCAAATTCTTGACATAAATACTGTGATCCAAACTGTTCTTTTGTGGATAATTTTCTTTGCATTTATTCCTTACTAGTGATTCATTTTGTATGCATTAATATATAACAGAAGATCTAAGTTCAGCATATTAGTGACACTTATATTCATATTATTTTGTCTACTCGTGAAAGTTGTGAATAATTCACTCATTAAAATTAGTTGTTTACAGTATATATTTACCTGATCTTGTAGTTGTTTACTATATAGGTTCACCTGGCCTGATCCTACAGTTGTTTATAGTATAGATTACCTGGCATGATCCTGCAGTTGTTAAAAGTATATTTTTACCTGGCCTGATCCTGCAGTTGTTTACAGTATATATTTACCTGGGGTGATCCTACAGTTGTTTACCTTATAGATTTACCTGATCCTGTAGTTGTTATCAGTACAGATTTACCTGGACTGATCCTGTAATTGTTTATAGTATAAATTTACCTGATCTTGCATTTGTTTACAGTATAGATTTACCTGATCCTGTAGTCAGTTTACAGTATATTTTTATCTGATTCTGTAGTTGTTTACAGTATAGATTTACCTGATCCTGTAGTTGTCCTGTAGTTGTTTACCATAAAGATAAACCTAATCCACAGTATTTGTTTACAGTCAAGATTTACCTGATCCGGAAGTTGTCCTGAAGTCATTTTACAGTATAGATTTACCTGATCCTAGTTGTTTACAGTATCGATTTACCTAATCCTGTAGTTGTGACTGTATAGATTTACCTGATCTTGTATGATTCTGTTTTGTTGTATCTCCTGTTGGCGTATTTCTTGTTGTCTGACTTCGTCTCTTTGTTGGTCTCTATTCTGTACAACATATTCTTGAACTCTCTGTCGCTCCTCTATTTGTTGTTGTGCTTCTTTTTCTGGAACTGTTATCAATGATTACAAACATAATACATTATTTCAGTTTTTTAAATATCTAAACTAAAGAAATTAGTTTTCATTATTTAAAAAAAACAACTTTCAACTTATAAACATACAAAGAGAGATATGTTTTTCACTATGGCTATGCTAATAAGTTTCATTTTTTGCCAGGGGGAGACATAAAGACAGTTGGAATTTGGTCATTTGGTCTCATTGGCAATCACACCACATCTTGTTTTCATATTCACTGTATTTTTTATCATGGTCTTGGAGATTTGATTGATTGATTGTTGGTTGCTTAATGTCCAGTGGCAAAAATTTCATGCATGTTCAGGACAAGAACAAATTAACAATAAATAAAAAAGGAAGGTCCAGTAATAGGGGCCCGTCTGGGATGAAGGTCAGGAAATTTGGACTGCCATTGGAAAATGAAGGTAAATTGGATATGGACAGAAATTTTGCCTTGCAACTGGTCATCTACTGACCCCTCAAAGAGTTGTTGCAAGGGTTCTTATTGTGCACAGAGCGTGGCATCCCTTCTACATGAGGCATCAGATTTTACATCCCCATTCTACCAGGATGTGGCTGTGTATTTATACATCATGCGAAGCCAAAGAGACACCACACTTTAGCAAGGGTTTTACTGCTGGTCGGAAGAAGACCAAGAAAGACCATATTTCTATTCTCCAGTCACCCTTGGAAATTTGCATTCTTTATTGCATGTGATTATGAGATATCTGCCTAGGACTAGAACCAGGTTTTTATATCTTAGCTGATACATACCATATCTTTTCTCTATATCTCTCAGTGTCTGTAATACTTCATCATTTGTGATTGTCAAACTTATAATGCCATGCCGTAATTTGTTCACTTCACTAGTATAGCCTGGAGGTGCATTGTTCAACATCTGTTCAAACATTAAAGGACCCATCTTCTTCAAGTTCAGTTTGGCATTCCTGTTTACACATCTCCCAGCCTCATTGCATGTTACCTCTGAAATAAAAGATATGTTTACACATCCCAGCCTCATGCATATTACCTCTAAAACAAGAGTGCACACACTGAAATGTCTCGCCTGCTTTACTAACCATTGATTTTAAGTTGAAAGTCTTAAAGATAAAAGTTTTACTAAAAGCATTACAGGAACTTAACATTTTTAAAGATCTATGACAATGAGGTCAAGGTTAGATAAATCGTGTCAGAGACATATACACCTTACAATTTTTTTATATACCAAATATAGTTGCTAATTGAAAAACAGACCAAAACACAAAAACTTAACATTGACCAATGAACCATGAAAATGAGGTCAAGGTCAGATGATACCTGCCAGACAGACTTGTACACCTTACAATCATTACATACACCAAATATAGTTGACCTATTGCTTATAGTACTTGAAAAACAGACCAAAACACAAAAACTTAAAATTGACCAATGAACCATGAAAATGAGGTCAAGGTCAGATGAAACCTGCCAGACTGACATGTACCCATTACAATTATTCCATAAGCCAAATATAGTTGAAACAGACCTAATCACGTAACTTTAACCTTGATCACTGATCCATGAAATGAAGTTGAGGTCTGGTGAACTATGCCTGATCTTTTACACAATCTTTACACATCTCCAAGCCCCACTGCATGTTACCTCTGAAATAAAAGTAATCTTTACACATCTCCCAGCCCCACTGCATGTTACCTCTGAAATAAATGCAATCTTTACACATCTCAAAGCCCCACTGCATGTTACCTCTAAAATAAAAGCAATCTTTACACATCTCCCAGCCCCACTGCATGTTACCTCTGAAATAAAAGCAATCTTTACACATCTCCAAGCCCCACTGCATGTTACCTCTGAAATAAAAGCAATCTTTACACATCTCCAAGCCCCACTGCATGTTACCTCTGAAATAAAAGCAATCTTACACATCTCCAAGCCCCACTGCATGTTACCTCTGAAATAAAAGCAATGTTTACACATCTCCCAGCCCCACTGCATGTTACCTCTGAAATAAAAGCAATCTTTACACATCTCCAAGCCCCACTGCATGTTACCTCTGAAATAAAAGCAATCTTACACATCTCCAAGCCCCACTGCATGTTACCTCTGAAATAAAAGCAATGTTTACACATCTCCCAGCCCCACTGCATGTTACCTCTAAAATAAAAGCAATGTTTATATATCTCCCAGCATCACTGCATGTTACCTCTGAAATAAAAGTAATGTTTACACATCTCCTAGCCTCACTGTACATGCATGTTACCTCTGAAATATTAGAAATATTTCCCTTGTTTTTCTTTGTTTTTCAATTTCATCAGTTTCTTTCTATGACATGTTTATTATTTTCATTAACATTGGCTTTCTGATAAGTTTCTTTTTAAATGAATTAATTCATGGTTTGTCAAGAGTGTTGAGATGTGGTTACCTGGATTCTTGCTATTTGGCAGTAAGACCTGTATTGAAGAGGTGTTTACTTTGCTGTGCAATATGTATTGATACACAGGCATGTCACGTCAGGTAACTGATGAACATAAGAAATAATACTGAAATAATGTGGTAATGGTATCTCCCAAACTTGTTTTAGCATTCTCTTGTGTGGACTGTTGTTCATCATTTTTCTTTGGTCATTGTCTTGATAATTCTTTCTGGGTTAATATTTTCAAAACTACTTGGGGCAAAAGTACTTTTATAAACTGAAAAGTTATCTGCTATTTGTGCAGTCAAAATGCATTGACCATATAAACTTTAGCTCTATACAGCCAATCTTCACTGTATATATGTGAATAAAAACAATTCCAATCAGGGTTTAAGCTAGGATTTTGATGGCTTTAGTCACTTTTGCGTGGGATGAAATTCAACCTTATTTTGGTTAGCAGCAAGGGACCTAGGATGTATATTACTATCTATACATCTTTGTCAGACTTTGAAGGACTTAGGCATACTAGGCAGTTACTGCATGATATGACTGATGTGGCACTTTAATACGAAGATTAGGATATAAGATCTAGAAATCTAGTTCACAATTTCACTTCATTTAGTTTCAGGGTACATTCCTAATCAGCAAAAGTTGGGATCCATTGTTTTTTAAACCAGGAATCACAGCATAAATGAACTTGTAAGGACTATTTCAATGCATTATTCATACTCATTATCCTTAAAAACGTTTTAAAGCGATATTTAGAATTAATTCTATAAAGTTGGAACCAAGGATTTGTACAAATCCTTATTGGAACAATTCTAATGACTTTAAATTGTAAATTTATCATGAATAGATCACGTTTACTTTCGATTTCCAAAGGAAATGAAAACGGGAAGTGACAAGTGGATAATAAATTCAGAATGAATCCGGATTCATCTACGGATTGGTTCGTGTTTAAAAAAGGCAGGAAATTATTATTTTTTAAATTAAATTTGCTAAATAAGAACTATATTTGTCTCTCTCGTTTAGTTTGATACTTAATTATTTCGTATTTTACGTTTTAGTGTCTTTAAATTCATAAGAATACTTTCGCGCATGCACAGTCCATCGTAAAGGAAGCACCTGTTGACTCGTGAAAACACTTCTGAATGTTCTGAATAAAGTTCTATCTTTTTAATCGAAATTGTCGAAAGTTTTTGATTAAAAGTTATATCAAATATGACGAAAATACGTTCATTCGAACTGCAAATTGTGATCGTTTGAGAAATATTGAAATTAAAATGCGAACTGTCCGAGGAAAAACTCAAATGACGAAACTACAACAAACGAACTGCAAATTGTGCTCGTTTGATAAATATTGAAATTGAAATGCCAACTGACTGATTTTACTGGGGAAAATAATTATGATGATCAATTATGAGGTTGATAAATAATTAATGGATTAGTGACCCATCCGATGGTGATAAGCGGATTATCTGTAATCACAACTTATAACACCTGTTGTAAATGTTAATTAGCTGAGGGTCATAAACTTGTCAGAAACAATAAGACAGGTAGAATTATAGTATTTTCATGCGAAAATATTTTTACTCTTTCCAAATTTAAGTGACGAAATTGATTTGGAATACTTTCGTCATTTTGAAAACCGTTTCGTCATTTTGAAAACCGTTTCGTAAATGACGAAAACGACGAGCGCTAGCAAAATCACTGATTCCAATGCAGGTTCACAGAATTTTTATGTTGTTTGCTTCAAATTCATAAATATTGATTTTTCCCTATAATATTTCATTTTGAACAGTTTAAAGAGTTGCAGTGAAAAAAGAACAACCATACATTGTCTAAGAAAAAACTGAATTTATTTGCATTGGACAGGATAAAAGTGGTTGACACAGCCTTGAATTCTTCCTGTTTTTCTCAGCTTTTTACAAATTTAATAAAGTTTATATTTAGAGACAATAATGTATCATTATTCTATATTTGAACTATACCCTACACAAATTACTTACTGACTTGACTAGCACCAGGAATTTTACAATCTGCATTAAATCTACAGGCCTTCTCTTCCATTGCAACATCATCCAGATCTACTAACTTTAGTTTATCATTAACTATCACAAAATCTGAGTTATATGTATTAGTTAAGGCAAGGCTTCCCAGTGGGTGGTACTCCAAAAAGTGGAGGAGCTCTGACAACTGTACAGCATACTGTAAATAGAAATTTTGGTTTATATAATATATGTATTGATCATAAAATTATTAGTAGATCAGAAATTATCTTTTTCTTTCTGTTATTAATATCTAATTTCTATTCTTACAATGTCTTAACTTAGACATGTTAGATGACTTGTCTTTTTTAAATGTCACACATTTTGTTTACAATGTTTACTGTGGGCCTCTTTCTGACTGATCCTACATATTAGAGCTAAGCAAACTGTTAAAGCCATACTCTGACTTGTAGATTGATTTATACTTTCTTAACTTTTTGGTACATTGTATTGGTGAATAGTTCTCACATTAGCAATATTACACCACATCCAGACCTGCCAACTATCCTGATATATTATGGGGGATATCTCTCATGAGAGGTGTTGATCTGAATTTTGAAATTCTTTATTATATAAACTGAACACTTAAAAACAGGCATTCAAATGAGTTAATAAACTGCTTCGCTGAGCGCAGCTGGATACGCCCGCAGAGGTCCAACCCTGAACAGTTGGGGCAAAAATGGACACAATATTCAAGCTTGATACAGGTCTGAATTTGGATTGTAATCAAATATTTGACATATTATAGGTTTCTGAATAAATGTAGTCAAAGAACTTAAAATTGGTTATTTGAATTGAATTTATATTCAATAAAAGATTTCTTGCTGTTGTGCAATACACTGTGCTGTTGCGCAATACTTAGAAAATCTGTTGTCAGACTATTAAACAAAGAAAGTTCAATTTCTTCTCAATGTCATATTTGAAATTTATGAAAATCAATAGGGAGATTACATCAATAGCTATAAATAATTCACCAAAGTTTCATGAGAACTGCTGAAAGCATTTTTGAGTTATTGTCCAAAAACTGGAAAATCCCCCCTTTTTTAATGAATAAAACCCCATAACTCAGAAAAGTAAAATCTAAAATTTATAAAATTCTAAAGGGAGCTTACATCAACAGATATAAACAATTCACCAAAGTTTCATAAGAACTGCTGAAAGCATTTTTTAGTTATTGTCCGAAAACTGGAAAATCCCCCTTTTTTTATGAATAAAACCCTGTAACTCGGAAACGTTAAATCTAAAATTTATAAAAATTCAAAAGGGAGCTCATGTAAATAGAAATAAACAATTCACCAAAATTTCTTGCAAGTTGGTGAGAGCATTCTTGAGTTATTGTCAGAAAACTGGAAAATCCCCCCTTTTTTAATGAATAAAACCCCAAAACTCGGAAACGGTAAATCTGAAATTTATAAAAAAAACAAAAGGGAGCTCACGTCAATAGATATAAACAATTCACCAAAGTTTCATGCATATTGGTTAAAGCTTTTTTGAGTTAATGTCCGACATGTTGACGACGGACAGACAGACGGACAGACAGACGGTCAACGGTATACCATAATACGTCCTGTAAGCGCGTATAAAAAAGTATTTAAGCACACATATACTCATTCAAACAATACAGTATAGATTAAGAACACTATGACAATATAAGAGGAGCATTTAGGTCCTCTTGCATTTAAAACCCCCATGGAGATTTTGAAAAGTTGGCAGGTATGCACATCTGAATTTTATATATACATCAGACATGGGGTAATTGAAATATGTAATTGTAATTGGCTGTTAATTAATTACAGTTTCTCAAGTAATTGAATGTAATGTGTAATTGAGCATTTTTTCAATTACAAGTAATTGAAAGTCATGAATTACAAAGCCAAAATTGTCTGTAATTCACAATTACTTTTCAATTACAACTCAATTACATTTGAAATTTGGGATCAGAAAGATTGAATCTTGTGTTTTCTCAAAAAATAATGAAAAGCCATGACCTTAGCAAATGTAGTTAGCTGACAAATCAAAGCCTACACAGTATACCTTCCTACACAACCATGGAAGATTCTTTATTTTGTAATGAATGAACAAAAAATTAAAAAGAAAAATAAATATTGTAGGAACATGCCATAATTTGTGTTTAAAAGAAACCATTAGTAAGTCATCGTCTTATACCTTAATTAGCTTGTTACCTACATGTATATTCAGATGGATATTGTTAGACATTGATTTAACATAATCAATTTGAAAGGTCATAAATCAATCAATAAATATAACCTCTGGCTATTTGTTTTATCATAAACTATATAATGACTGTTTTTACAACAGTTATGTTTGCATGTTAAACAGGTGTTAAGCCAATTACAGAGAGATAAATATACACCTAGGTACAGGATTTTTTTTAAAATTAATTAATTGTGATTAAAACTACATTATATTTTTAAAAAAGTTAGACTTTCTAAATCATTTCTTTAAGAAAAATAATTTTAATAAGTTGTGATCAAATTAAAAAAATAAAATTTTATCTATAGGGCTCTCTTGTATCATTTTCAATGAAATACATCAAAACATAAAATTTCAATAGGTTATTAAATAAAATTTAATATTTTCCAAATATTGAATAAGGCTTTGTATTATTTTGCACATTAAATTTAACCAGACATCTAGTCCTAACGATTCCTAATAGACAAAGTATTATGTGCACTTCAGATTTATGTTTGTTTTTTCTTTATTCCCGTAACACAGCAGATATTTAACTTTTACTCTTCTTTGATACTGGCTGAATTTGAAAATAGTCACTGTAGATCTCATTTGTTATTACTATAAAGCAATGTATGATAATTATGTACATATGATAGAATAAATGCATGTTCTAAATTTTCCTTTCAAAAGTAATTTAAGTAATTAATTACATTTGCCAAGTAATTGGAAAGTAATTAATTACATTGTCAAAAAAAGTCAAATGTAATGTGTATTTTAATTTAAGATTTTGTAATTGTAATTGAATGTAATTAATTACTTTCAAAAGTAATTGACCCCATGTCTGATATACATGCTCTCCCGTTACATATAAAATAGAAGATTTCTTATATATTAAACATGTTAAACATCTTGAATAATAATCTTTACATTTAAAGAAAAAAACAAACCTTACACTGGCAAAAATGCCACACATGTGTACATGCGTGACACATGCGTTTCACATGCGTGTAACACGCATGTGAAAGAGACGTTTCATGCCACGCATGTGACACATGTGTGAAAAACACATGTGATACGCATGATACACACATGTGATCATGCGTTTCACATGTGAATCACATGCGTAAGGAAATACACCTGTGATACATGCGTGATTACTACATGTAAAAGGCATGGTGCCTGTATTAAATATTTTTCAAAATGTCCTCCTATTTGTCCAATTACCATGATTGTTGACATGTTTCTCAGTTCTCATGTGAATTACATGCAATTTCTAACACATTTTTCTAACACATGCGTTATACATGTGTTTTCTCTATATATACACAGGCAAAATGAAATTAAGGTGAATTGAGCATCAATCACACAAATTCACAGTATTTGAGTATATTTTAGATAAGTAAATACTTATCTAGTACACATTCTATTTTGATATATAAATATTCTTCTTGGTCTTGACTATGTGTTCATACTTCCATTATATTTTACTTTCTTGATCCTAAACAATACAAAAAATATTTATCTATCAACTCCCAACTCACAATATCTCCAATGCAAGAGATAAGATGCAATAAACAAAGAAGGCAAGCAAACATCCAGGTCACCTTAGTTCACTCCTAGAATTTTTTCGGTTATGTTCAAGTCTCAATACTTTTTTTAAAAGTCATGTAAGGATTGGTGATTCATTTATAGAATATGTATGCACTAATGTATATTTCATTTTTAATATGTATGTACAAGTCATTTTGTGGTTATCAGCCATGAGACAATCCAATCCCATTATGGAAATAGTCTTACTTGCAAAAGATGCCAATTTTTCTTTTGAAAGTTTTGAAGAAAAAAAGTATTTCACCCTGCCACATATTCCTGTGCCTGTTTCAAGCCAGGAACCTTTTCAGTGGTTGTCTAAGTCTCATCCTAATAAAAAAAATATTTAACGAATTTGGTGTTGATGGCAGCTCTTTGATTGGTATAGACTCTGGTTAATTAAGTAGATCATGACATTGTTTAGACACCTGTTCATTGTTGAGGACTGTGTTAGCACCTTAATGCCTTTCATGTGTTTTTGTTGTGTAGCTGTCTGATTTATTTATACCTCATATCTCATTGTATTAATAAACTGAAATAGAAAGTTCTGTGAAATATATTTTGATATAACATATTGAAAGTCTTGCTGTTATTTACAACCATTTCCTTCTTATTTCATATATCTATTTCAGTTTTTCATTTTAACACCAATCTTAAGGTTAAGGCAAAAAGAAAACAAATGTTGACAAACAACAGGCATATACCATTAGAAGATCTCAAAGTTTGGCTGCACAATAAACTAAAAATTCTTGTTATTTCAAATATTTATATAAAAATCAGTTTAAAACATGCATTTTCCATTTTTAGACTGTAATTGTCATGTTGGCACAATAATTTGAATTTGAATTGTATTATATTCTGAGAGTACTTGTGGTTGAAAAAATATACACGATATTTAATTCCATGTGTTTTAGATTTCTTGAATACACCACTCCCATATAATGACTACATGTCTGTTAGTAATGTTAAGAGTTCTCTCCTGCATGTAATTGCTGTAATTGCTATTTGTACCCAAGGCTTCCTTCATACATTTGCACTTATCCTTCTAAGATGTTGCTTGAATGATAAAATCCTGTAATACATTATCAGCCATCAGGTTCTTGGAATACAGTTGCTGTAATAAAAAAAATAAACTGTAATCACAGAGATATGTCTCGCTTTTTAGTAATTTCGATAATGCAAATGTTGAAATTAAAATAGCAACACTTTAACATGTAAGATTTGCAAATATTCAAAGTCAATGAACCATGACTAAAGGTACATGGCTAAACAATCTCCATGGAAATTAGATGTGCCAATGCTAATACAACGCATACCAAATACCATTGACTTATCATAAGTAGTTCCCTTTAAAAAACCTAAACACAAACTAATACATGTAAACTAAGAAAATTTTAAAGTCAATAAACGATAACTGAGGGGGGGGGGGGGGGGAATAATCACCATGGTAATGAGATGTGCCAATGCTAATACAACTACATACCAAATATCATTGACTTACCACTAGTGGTTTCCCATAAGCCGACCTAATCACAAACTAATACATGAAAACTAAGCAAAAGTTTCAAAGTCAATAGACCATGACTGAGGGGGCAGGGCCAAATAATCTTCATGGAAATGAGATATGCCAATGCGTATTTAACTGCATACCAATTATCATGAACTTACCACTAGTGGTTCCCCATAAACTGACCTAGTCACAAACTAATACATGAAAACTAAGCAAAAATTTAAAAGTCAATAGACCATGACTGAGAGAGTGGGGCCAAATAATCTCCATGGAAATGAGATATGCCAATGCTTATACAACTGCATACCAATCATAATTAACTTACCACTAGTGGTTCTCCATAAACTGACCTAATCACAAACTAATACATGAAGACTAAGCAAGAATTTCAAATTAAGTCAATAAACCATAACTGAGGGGGCGGGGCCAAATAATCTCCATGGTAATGAGATGTGCCAATACTAATACAACTGCATACCAAATATCTTCGACTTACTACTTGTGGTTCACTATAAACTAGACCTAATCACAAACTAATACATTGTTGACGCCGCTGTCGTCACCAACGCCAGAAACAGCATACCTATGCCTCGCTTTTTGACTCCGTCAAGCGAGACAAAAACAGCATATATTTTTTGTAAAACATACATCAAATATTGGATTACCAATCAGGCAAAAAATGATAACATCAATTTAATCTCCAATGATTTACCAAACTTACATATATATATATATATATATATCGTGTGAACAACTGGAGTGGAATATAATAGTTGTTGTTTATCATATTTATTTTTCGTTTAATGTCTTTTACGTAAATTGGAATTGTATTACATCTGTAATTTCAGGACCTTTTATAGCTTGCTAGATGCAGTATCAGTTTTGCTCATTGTTGAAAGCTGTTCATACAGTGATCTATAGTTGCTAACATTCAGTCATTTGGACTCTGGTGGATAGTTGTCTCATTGGCAATAATACTACATATTCTCATTTTTATCAACATAAATTACCGTAATAATGAAAACTAACTCTATTCATGCATGTGTACTACACATTACCTGTATATATAATATATACTAGAATACTCCGGGACATCATGGTGTTGTGACTGAAGCAAAGTACCTTAGCCTTATTTTTAGCCTGAATTTTAAGATTTTTCGTTTTGTCATCTAATAATGTCATGCTGGTCATTAGGTGCACAGTTTTCTCTGCGTTCAAAATCTTTCTTTTTGAACCCTTCGACCCAGAAATTGTTAATTATCTGTAGTAATAGTTATGTGGAAAACAAATGGGCCTGGAATGGTGTAATTTTTAATCAACACCATTGTCCTATAAGTTATAAATAAAGTTGAATTCTTTGAATCGTCATTTTTATGTCATGCCGGCTCACAAATTGGACCTTGTTATTTTAGTATTATAGATCTAGATTACTAAGTGCTTGTAGAAACACAATTCCTCATTTTTCAAGCCCCTTTCTTACATGTCTTAACCTCATTTAAATTACAATACCAACTAAAAGCTCCAAGGAGCCTGTGTCGCTCACCTGATATTTTTTTTATTTTACAATTGATGCATGAAATAATGCAACCGATATACTTTTGCTTTAGTTTCAAAGATATAAGTCAAAAACTGCATTTTTCCCCCTATGTTCTATTTTTAAACTAGATACCCTAATGCTTATTATGGCCAAGTTTGGTTAAATTTGTCTCAGTTGTTTCAGGAAAAGACTTTTGTAAAAGATTACAAAAATTTACGAAAAAATTGTTAAATTTGACTTTAAAGTGCAATAACTCCTCATGGGGTCAATTGACCATTTTGATCCTGTTGACTTATTTGTGAATCTTATTTTGCTGAACATTATTGCTGTTTACAGTTTATCTCTATTATAATGTTCAAGATAATAACCAATAAATTGCTTTGCCGAGCGCAGCTGGATATGACCACAGAGGTCCAACCCTGAACAGTTGGGGCAAATATGGACACAATATTCCCGCTTGATACAGGTCTGAATTTGGATTGCAATTCAATATTTGACACATAATAGGTTTCTGACACAGAATAACTGTAGTCAAAGAACTTAGAATTAGTTATATGATTTGAATTAATATTCAAAATTTTGCTTTTGTGTAATACACTATGCTGTTGCGAATTGACCTCCATCCTCTTTTTAAAAAAAAAAAAAAATTTTAATGATTTTCTTTTTGATTTTGATTTCTGAAATCTTGAGGAGAAAAAAATTGTCCCCCCCCCCTTTTCCAAAAAAAAAATCTTTCCCTCAGTTATGGCCATAATTTCAATTCAAATTTCCAAGATGTATTTGAATTACCTCCCTTACACTGTAATTTGTACTTAAGTAATTGTCCATTAACCAGGACACCCTTGTTTTTTCTCACTTTTTTGCCCCTAATTCCTAAATGGTTTGAGCCATAACCCCCCAAAGCCAATCCTAACCATCCCTTTGTGGTATGGAAACTTGTAGTATAATTTCAGAGAGATCCATACACTGTTCCACAAGTTATTGTCATGAAACTAGAAAAATGCTTATTTGGGCCCCTAATTCCTAAACTGTTGGGACCATAACCCCCAAAATTAATCCCAACCTTCCTTTTGTGGTTATAAACCTTATGTTTAAATTTCATAGATTTCTATTTACTAATACTAAAGTTATTGTCCGGAAACCAAGTGTCTTTGGGCGACGACGACGACAACGTGATACCAATAATTTTTTGTGGTCGTATAAAAATTGAAAAAAAAATTCTTAAAATTACCAATTCAGGGGCAGCAACCCAACAACGGGTTGTCTGATGCGTCTGAAAATTCAACAGAGATAGATATTCACCTGATGAACATTTTTACCCCATGTCAGATTTGCTCTAAATGCTTTGGTTTCAAAGATCGAAGCCAAAAACTGCATTTTACCCCCATGTTCTATTTTTAGCAATATTGGCCATCTTGGTTGATGGCCAGGGTCATGGATACATTTTTTAAACTAGATACCCTAAGGATGATTTAGGCCAAGTTTGGTTTTATTTGGCCCAATAGTTTCAGAGAAGATTTTTGTAAAAGTTAATGGACGACGGACGCCAAGTGATGAGAAAATGATGCAATTAACAGCAAAAGTAGGCGAGACACTGGGTTCTGCGGAACCCTTACGATTTTTTTGAAATTGCCTTGGAATTCAGTATTTTTGTTATACCATTTGGAAATTAAATACTGTAACAAATACATACCAGTTACATTTATATATACTGTAGCTATAGGATCTCCTCAATATCTAATCCTGTTGTTAATTTCATTTAAACATATAATGTATATAGCTTCCCTTCCACTTACATCTGAGGAGCTAATTCTGAAAATTAAAATTCCTGTGATTATCATATAAAATCTTAACCTGATGCAGTCTGCTTTCCAATAAGAATAAATTAGGAATACAGTTATCCCTTGGCAAAGAGAGAGAAAACAAGTGATATTTTTATATTATAACCAATACTGCACATGGTAATTGGAACATCACTAGTTTTCTGGATTGGATTGTTGCTCACTTTGTCAGGATCTTTTACAGCTGACTATATACTGTAGAAACATTAATTTTCATGGGGTTAAAATTTCGTGGTTTTGTCTCTTTACAAGATTTCATGGGGATTTAATTTCGTGGTTTCCAGTAAATGGAAGTGATATTATATGTAGGTTAAATTTTCGTGGGGGTTTTAATTTCATGGGTATATTCTTTCCACGAAATAAACAAAATTAAATCCTCCACGAAAATTTCTGCTTTTACAGTAGTATGGTTTTGTTCATTGTTGAAAGTCATACAGTGACCTAAAAGGGAGAAAACAGTACTTTATTAATAGCATGTGGATGCAAGACTATAATAAGTATTCAAAGAGTTTTGCAAACAATTAGCTTATCCATTTAGGAGAATTCTGTATTTACCAAGTGATGTGACAGTAAACAGTGGCGGATCCAGAACTTTTTATTACTAAAGGGGGGGGGGGGGGGGGGGGGGGGGGGCCCACTCCAGTCATGCTTCAGTGATTCCCTATATAATCAACCAAATTTTTACCACAAAAGGGGGGCCGTCCCCCCCCCCCCCCCTGGATCCGCCTATGGTAAAATCAAGTTCAATGAAGGCCAAGCTTAAAATACAATACAGTTATCTACTTTCTAATGCAGCATATTAAAATAAATACCATTTAACAAATATTTTGCATTGTCTTTAGCAACTAAACAATGTGATGTCATATGCGTACTCATGATGTCAAACATAAAATTCTAGAAGTACATTTTATTTATACCTTTCGTACGCTTCAGAATGGTTTCAATGTTGACAAAAAAAATGGAGGACCTTTCACTGGACTGGAAATTTCAAATAGTCCAGGACCTTTAATTTTTTAATGCAAATTTTAACCCCTGCATGTAGACCAATTTGAAAACCTGGCCCAAAATAAATAGACAGCTGCACCATGAGCACATGATACACCAATCGCTTATTCAAAGAATAAAGTTCAATAACTTTTCAATGTCATAATCAGACATTCATGAAAAACTAAAGGGAGGTTATCTTAATAGATATAAACCAGTCACCAAAGTTTCATGATAACTGCTCAAAGCATTGTCTGAAATATGAAAATCCCCCTTTTTTATGAATAAAATCACACAACTCTGAAACATAAAATCTAAAATTAATAAAAACCAAAAGGGAGCTTATGACAATAAATATAAACAATTCACCAAAGTTTTATGAAAACTGCTGTAAGCATTTTTGAGTTATTGTCTGAAAACTGGAAAATCTCCCTTTTTCAAATGAATATAACCCCACAACTTGAAAACATAAAATCTTAAATTTATAAAAATCGAAAGGGAGCTCATGTCAATAGATACAAACAAGTCACAAAAGTTTCTTGCCATTTGGTGAACACATTTTGAGTTATTGTCCCAAAACTGGAAAATCCCCATTTAAAGTTTTTTAATGTTTTTTGGATATCAACAACTTTGTCAAACATACATGGAATTTTGACATGGAATTAGTTATATCTGCACACAAGAACACACATTTGTATGTGTTTTTTCTGCATAAACATGTAATTCATAATTTATTAAAACTTCCGACATAGTCCCATTGTGCATCTCTTTTTTATGCCCTTGTCGTAATGGAGGGGGCATCAAGTTTTACATTTATCTGTCTGTACATCCTTGCATACTTGCATTGAGAAATAGGTTTTATACCCTTTTGATATATTGCAATATTTTGACATTACACAGTCATACTTTTCTTAAGACTGCATAAAATGACAAACTGTGAAACATTGTTACACTAAATCTGTTGAATGTAAACTGATAGATATTTTAGTTTGGGAAAACATGTTTTTTGCACCTTTTTTATTATAAGACCTATTGATGAATCCAGTCCTTTTTGGCTAATTTTGAAAGTTGGTTCTTACGTTGTTTGCTGTCTGCCAATACTGTATGTAGTTTATATTTTTCATCCTTGTAGGTTACTTTATGGTATTGATTTTGTTCATTGTTTAAGGCTGTACATTGACCAGTAAATGTTTACATCTTTGTCCTTTGGTCTATTAATTGATAGTTGTCACATTGAGGATCATACCTCATCTTTTTATATTTATATGCTAGGTCATTGAAAAAGCTCCAAGGATACAACATAATTTAATTGTTATATATTTTCAAATTCATTCTGATAATGCAAAAACATAAATTGATTGACTTTTTTTCTTATTTTAATGTCCAGAGGCAAATATTTTATGTATTCTAAACGAGAACAACTTATCATGATCAATTAATAATATAGGCCAGTCTGACAATGCTTGTTTTAGACCCTTTTTGGTCTCTAATTCCTGAATGGTTTGGGCAAATACCCCCAAAATGAAACTTAACCTTCTACTTGTGGTACAATTTCATAGCAATTAAAATACTTATAAACAAGTTATTGTCCTGAATTTAGAAAAATGCTTGATTTGGGCCTTTTTTGGCCCCTAATTCCTACACTGGTTGAACCATGACGCCAAAAATAATCCCAACCTTCCTTTTGTGGTATTGAACCTTTAAATCTAATTTCATAGACATTCATACACTTAAACTGAAGTTATTGTCCGGAAACCAAATGTCTTCGAACGAGTTGATAGCAATATAGACGGGTTTATCTGTAATTGACCTAGAAAACATGGCCGCATCCATTAACCTCTCACGTGACCAATCCGCCATTACAAACGTGTATTGATCAAAACATTATCGATTTTCTGTTTACATTTATATTTCTTTCATTTTCTGATTTATTTTACTATGGATGCTGCCGAAAGTTATAAAAAACACGGAAGCATTTCTTGTGCAGTTAATAGTTGTACAAATAATCGTAAAAAACTTCAGTTGTGGAAAAAATCAATTTGCGAATTACACAACGAGTTGCACGATGACTGCCCTCGTTTGATTTCATATACGTCTTATTACTGTGATGCCTTCAGACGAGCCAACAAACCTGAGTGGATCAAAGCCGTATAATCGTAAAAAAAACTTTGCATAAACAGGTTTTTGTATAGTCCGGACATTTTTTTTTGGATGATGCGCCACTGCACACAATCCGTTTTTTTTAATAAAACTTGTTATGAAAGTAAAATAACACTGGCTGACGAATGTTTAAACGATGTAAAACGACTGTTAAAAACTTAAATTAATCTATAAAATTTAATCTGATGACTACAGTGCATCTGCCTCTTTTGTATAGAAGATCCACCGCGACATCAGATGCGGATCCAGGAATTTGAAAAAAAGGGGGGACCCCGCGTGCCCCCAAACTTTTGTAGTGAAAGCGGTAAAATGTCTGGATTAACCATAAATGAAGCTAATAACAATGAAACAGACCCCGAGGCTACATGTATTTATAATTGCAAGCAAATCAACCCAGTGTGAAGAGACGAACTTTTTTCATTCATGACGACTTCTATAGTATCTTTATGCTGCAAAATGGACAGACATTCCGACAATATTAACCCAGACAAAAATATTGTTAACAGATGAGTAAGGAGTTCAAAATTAAATAAAAGAAGGGGGACCTCGTCAGCCGTTTAAAAAATATTATGAATGACAGTGACGCCTTATTGTATACTTATGTAACTAAGTTTTCTTTACTTTAGTGGAATTACTACACAATTTAATTTTCAACTATGATATTGCAGATCAGTTGTTGATCGATCGTACTGATGAGGTTAACACTTAGTTTGATATTTGGTTATTTGGGATGGCGCTTTAATATTTCGAAAAGTAAGGCTTGTAAAATATTTTATTCCTGGGTGCAGTTCACTAAATGACGCTTCAAAACATAACTAATCATCGCTTTGAATTTACATGTTGGAGTCTTTGGTGGTTTAATGGCATTCATTTATATTAAGCACGGACTGGATCATGATGTTATATACTATACATACTATAGTAGTTGTATGTCGAGTAATTTTCTGCAAAAGAAATTGGAATCGAACACATTATAACTATAGGAATACATGGGCCGTAAAAGTTCAAAACTTCTTAAGCCCATATTCTAATCGCAAAGTTATATCTATATACATATGGTCCGACGCATCGATAGCATATAGCTACAATCTGTAAAAGTGGCGAAATTGAAAATGAACAGCACATGCTGCTACACTGCAGAGGTTACTCCAGTATTAGAGAGACTTTTGTATTAAAAATGTTCAAAATTACAGGAAAAAGGAAGTCACAGCTTCAATTTCATAAATAATCTAAAAGAAATGTAGACCTGTTTGGGATTGCTTGCAATGCAATTTTCATTACATTAAACAATATATATTTCCATGGAATAACTTCTGTAAACCTAAATTTTAATAGCACTTACTTTCTAACTCATACATTTCAAAGTGACATTATTCCTGTATAAATTGCCAAATAAACGGATCACCGATGTAATAATAAATCTTAATTATAAATTTAATACTAAACAGAAAACAATGAACTTGCGGAAAAGATGGTATACCGCCAACAAAAGGTGCAAAGGTTTTATTTCTTGGTTTCCTTAAACTGACCTCATCATGAATATCAACAATTTTTTTACGACTATGCCTCTATTGAAAACAGCATGCCTAAGTCACAGCTTCATAACTGTTGTGGCTAGACAAAAAAGAACAAGCGATTAAGAGAGCTTTGAATGCAATTTTCTATAAAAATGACCTGTAAAAAAATAAATTTGTCACTTCTAACATGGATAATTTTCGAACTTGCCCACAACATTACAAGAATCAAACTTTAAACTCTTTGACCTCAAACTTTTAAAAAAATCTTCGAAACTGCATGTACAGAGCCTGACAAGAAAAAATTATTCAAACATAGTTATCATTTTCATTACATACCTCTCATCACAAAATTATTCATTGACTACTGCTCCTCATATCCACATAAATCAATAGGACAATCTATGACTCCACTATATAATCTAGAAAGCAATGCCTCAAATGAATTCTGTCCTGTTGCTTAGCTTCTCCTACTTCTCAAAGTAATTGTACTTTCGTTGAAAAAGCTAAAATAAATAATGTTTAATAAAATGAAGTTATAATACAATGTATCTGCCAAAATTGCCTTTAATATTTTGATCCGGCAAAATTGGCTTGCTTTGATCTTTTAAAACTAGACCAACAAACTTTCCCTGAAAAAAAAATGACTACAAAAAAGTATTTAACCATTTTATTAATGTTCTAATCCATCATATAAATTCCATATGACCCTTGAATGAAGGGATGAACAAAAGTGATTACATGTACAGTATATATTACAGGATCTCTGAATCTGTCATGATTTATAATGCCAATCTTTGGGGATTAAGTTATTAATAATCATGATACTTTGAAATTTTAAGTCATTCAAAGTTGTTTAAATTACACCAAAAGTTGGACTATTTTATATTATAAGGCAGTATCTGAGAAATGGACTAAACCAGGCAAGATTTGGTGGTAAATACATTGTACATGTACAATGTACTTTGTTTTTGGCTTTGAACTAGGTGTTAGTAACTGGGAGTACTCTCAGATCTGAACTGGGTCTTTTTTGTTGTGGGGATGTGTAAGTACCCACCACGTCTTGTGTGTGGTTTTGTTAGATGTCTTTCTACTTTGTATAGATCTGACGAGTTAAGCCCTTTTCACATCAATATACCAGGTTAGGAGGTGGGTTCGGCACCACAAACTACTAGTCTAGCCCCACCCCATCCTGTACATATTTGTATGTATGTGCCTGTCCCATGTCAGGAGCCTGTAATTCAGTGGTTCAGTTTGTCGTTTGTTGCTGTGTATCATCACATGATCATATTTTGTTTTTTTTGTTCTTTGTTTTGTATATAAATTAGTCTGCTAGTTTTCTTGTTTGAATTATTTTACAAATTTGTCATTTTCATTTGGGGTCTTTTATAGCTGACTATATGGTATGGGGTTTGCTCATTGTTGAAGGATGTACAGTGACCTCTAGTTGTTAACTTTGATGTCATTTGATCTCTGATGGAGAGTTGTCTTTTCTCATTAGTGTAAACAAGATTTTATTTTGAAAATAATTAGGTTATTTAAACATTACAATATGACAGTTTTATTAGGATTGGAAAACAAGTGAATTTTCACGGACTTTTACCAATTCCTCTCTTTTCTCATTGGCAATCATACCACATTTTCTTATTTTTATATTTACATTACGTACATGTAAAGTAGATCTTTCATCTTCTGGAGGTGTCCGATTCCTAAGTACATGTACAACAGGGGGCCCTAATTAACAGCATGATTTTGAGTCGGCTAAAAAACAATCAGATAGATTATGATACAATTAACAGGTTTCTTTGCAATTATTTTGCAAATAACTAAGCTAATGCAAGAATAAAGTTATTTTCAAATAATAGTAAATAATGAATCTACAATTATATTTTAAGAAGTGAAACATCATTTAAATTCAATAAATATCATATATTAAATTTCAATTTTTTTTTTAATTCTGGGTAGATAAGTTTTCATTTTTTTAAAGTACATGTAGGGCGAGTTGGTAGACCTTTATCTGTTTATAATATATTTATTATATATTATCATGATTATATTCATTTGGATTTTACCCAAGTTAGGCAAGTTGCCACTGTTGGCAGGAGTACATTGACATTGTATATTTAACAGGATTTAATCCTTTTCACAAGTGGGGCGAATTTTTTTAATGTGGGGCAAGCAAGTTGGTATGAAGGGAGCTACCACTTGACTTGGTGGGGGGCTAGGATGAAAATGTTATGAACAGTTATCCTGCATTGTTTCTAATTTTAGTTGTAATATCTGTCCTGACAGTTTATTATTCACTCTTTTCAGTCCTGGCTTTTATTTTTTTACTCAAAACTCCTGTCCCGCATTTTTTCAAATTCCGTCAAAGCCCCCTCTCCCATAAAAATCAAATGGTAGCTCCCTAAACAAGAGTGGAGCGATTTTAAAATAATGGGGCGTTTTGCCAATTGCAATGCCAATGGGGCGAGTTGACTTGCTTCCGTTTTTGCCAATCTTTGACTGATTTTCGGGTTTATACATGCATGACATGGATAAAGTCAAATGGTTTTTCGTGAAAAGTATAGCACAAGCATCTTCCTAAAAATGCGCATGATTATATTTACATTTCATTGCGCTTTCCAAGTACAATAAGTTGGTACGTAATCCATCAAAACGAAACACTTTCGTTGCGTTGACTTTCGTTCCCCGGATTCAGTTAATCGACAATGTAAGTTACTAACCCATTTCAATATATCTGTTTATAATAACTTTTTGATCCATCAGTTTGAAAAATCAAAGGTCTTTGTATCAACTATCTGACTATCTTTGTCCATTCTTTTAAAACATGAATTCAGCAGCAGACGAGCGTCCATGGATTTTGCGTCATAGTATAAAAACGACAACGGTGAAAAGATTTCCGGGTTTCCGTATTCGACGTACCAAGCTTTCGTACATTTACGTATATATATGAGAGTTAGTCTGGAATCAAGAATGGGGATTTGAATAAGGATACAAAAAAAATATATAGATAGTTGAAAAGCAAAAATATAGAAAGAAGGATCATAGAGAATAATTGAGTATACTTAATTATGAAGAATCATGCAAAGACATTATTCTCAGAGCATATACATGTCTCTGGAAGAATTGAGAATAAAGATAAACTAAATTAAGAATATTCAATCATTTATATATTATTTATAACTCATTCACATTTTGTTCCATTCAGAATTAAATAACTCTGCTGAGGGGGGCATGGAAAGTTTGGAAAATTGACAAACGATAATTACTCTAAATTCTAATCAAAGGAGAATTAAATGTTAGACAGTTAGAGTGTTATAAATAAAATATAAACATATATTTTTCAAAATGATGTCACAGAAAACACAGATTTTTTTTTATTACTAATAAGATTCTGCGATTTGAGTATCTATGTCCAACAGATGTCAGTGAATTAGAAATTTTACTAATCTGATAGACGTTTAGTTAAGAATCTGTGACAAGTTCTTTTGTAATATTATTAGGAAATCGCCTACCGGCTCCTTGATTTAGAATTGCATACTCTTCAAGATTAAGGTAGCCTACACAAATAACAGCCAGTTTTGGACTTGATCTTTTTGTCCAAGGTTAAACAATATATTTTGTTTTATAATTTTCAACTCATGAACTATACAAATATTTTTAACACTATCTCCTCATGATATTCGACGAAAAGCTCACCAGATCTTATCTTCACATGTTTGCCAATATGGCGAATCAAATCAAAGTTTTACTTACTTAATTTCAAGTTGGCAATTACATGTATACTCAAACCTAGGTTGCCACATGTTGAACAGAAAGTTCCTAACTTTATCATTCACAATACTTGAGTTCACCCATGTATTTTGGAGGTTCGTGTTGCACATAAAGGCGGATTTAGAGCACCCTGCCCCTCCCCTTTTTGTAGCAAAAATTTGATCTATTATATCGGGAATCACTGATGCATGACTAGGGAGGCCCCCTCTTTAGCAGTCAGTGGGCCCCCTTATGAAAATTTCTGGATCCGTCAATGGCACAATCTTTAGTTTTTATGTAATGTTAAGCCCAACGGTTACTGGGAATTTCTGTACAGTATTTCATACCAAGTTTGTTTGGGTATCACAGTTTTAAAATGTTATCACCGTTGATCCAATAAACAAATCCTTGGTTGATCTATTCTTAAACAACTTCTTTCCAGTAGTACCCTCACAATGGTATTAATGACATTAATGCCTCCAACCTGGGACTATTATGGAGACTATTATACAATAGTCCCAGCTCCAACACTGATCATTGATATTTATGTTCCCCTTATAAATAGAATAGAGAAATTGAGGACATTTGTTCCACATTTTATGAACTTTGAAAAAACACAAGCACATGTAACTTTTGACACCACCTGCGGGCAAATGCCTGCAGGACACTGATGTGGTGGCATGTGGGTGGTGGTAAGTCAGTGGCGGATCCAGAACTTTTCATAAGGGGGGCCCGCTGACTGACCTAAGGAGGGGCCGCTCCAGTCATGCATCAGTGATTCCCTATATAATCAACCAAATTTTTCCCACAAAAGGGGGGCCCGGGCCCCCCAGGCCCCCCACCCTGGATCCGCCTATGCCAGTAAGTTTATAACCGCCGTTACAGTAAACCCCTCTCAACCCACCAAATGCTTGCTTGAAACACAAGTAAAATATAAGCAGGTAATTATATCCTTTGCTTTTATTCCACACCAAAGATGAAGAAATGTATGATAAAGTTATAATGGTATATTATTCTGTACATTGTATAAGCCTAAAAATTAAAGGGACGAAAGTATGTAGTGACTATTGTTTGTCGTGATGTAAACACGATAATAGTGTTGCTTTCCCCTTTATCTTATGACCCGTATTGAACAGGACAGACTACCCCAAACACTCTGAAACTTTTCAAGTACTTTCTATATGCTCATGTGTATTATATTGTTAGCATAGTTTTGTACTTGGACAGATAATCAGAATGGTCAACAATCAAGTATTGACAATGTTAATTGGTCACGTTTGTTTGAACTACCAAACCAGGTAATTTTTAAATTTACACTTGTACAACCCAATGTCAATGTTACATACAATCAGTCATTTTTGTAACACAAGGGTTACAAATAAGAAAATACTAAATAAAATATTCAAATTTATAATTTAGTTTCATAACTGTATGAAGCACCTAAGACTTAAATATATCTACTGGGTGTATCTGTCTGTCTTTTGTCCAAGATAGTTGGCAGATATATAGGAATAAAAAGAGATGTAAGGTTATTGTAACACACCTTTGAGAAAGTTATTCAAACAATAATAACAAAAACACAACACAACACATCTAGATATTCCAAGTTCTGCAATTAACACCAAATTCTCCCAATATAAATGCATACTTCTTTTACCTGTGTATATGTATTAAAAGAAATACCAATGAAAATCTTAATTAAAATAAATGTTTAAAGATTAAACTTTCAATTGTTCAAATAAGAAGAACATTTTATGGGGGAAGGGGGATGATTCACAGAATCCCCTGGCCTACTCCCTTTAGGAATTATATATAGAGAGAGACTTTTTAAAAGTCTAGTCTCACTTTTTTTTAAGGATCCTGGACCCATATCTGACAATTATTGCAATTTTATTTACTTTGCCTTTTTTTACTGCGATTATTTTCCTAAGCTGATTGGATAAAATACCATTTATTATGGTGACAATTAAGGATAATCAGGGGCTGATCCAGCCATTTTTAAAAGGGGGAGGGTCCCAACACAGGATAAAAGGGGGGTTCGAATTATGTTTCCCCATTTAAATGCATTGATCATTCAAAAAAAGGGGGGTTTCATGTGAAAATAATTTTTTTAAAAGTAAAATAAGATTTTCAATGGAATATATGTCTTACAAGGTATTAGATGTTAATAAACAAGTTTTAATTTTGATGTTAATTTTTTTCAACTTGGACACAATTAACTTTTTTTTCATGTGAATTTCACATGAAAAATTTAACGTAAAATTCATGTGAAAAATTTAACTTAAATTCACATCAACAAAATTTTCCTGTGTAACACATGCGTTACACATGCGTTTGACTATACATGTGTTACACATGCAAATATCGCATGTGTCACATGCGTTTTCCAACACATGCGTGACACAGGTGTTTTTCTGACACATGCGATTCACATGCGTGTATTACGCATGTGAACGCATGTGTACCACGCATGATTCACATGCGTGGCAAGAAACATGTGTATTACGCATGTGACACACCTGTGACACATGCGTTTTTAGGTACATGCGTGACACATGTGTGGCATTTTTGCCCTAGTATTTATACAGTTATATTTTGTGTATTGCAAAATCTTAATCCAAGAACAAAATTTAAATACAAAATTTCTTCCCCTTTTCTGCTTTTAACATAACCAACTTAATTGTCTAATTGTAGAGAAGAATATTAAGATTTTCTATCTTTTAGATTCCTCTGTAAACAGTTTCAGAAATTTTGAATATTTTAATGTGTGTACTGTTAATTCAAAAATTATTACATGCATTTATTATTGCGATTTTGGAAAAATGGACAAAAATGCCAGATTAATAATTGCAATGTCGGGAAAATTTGCATACAGATGAATGTATCAGATATATATCTGAATGCCAGTTCTTATTATTGTGATACTCACCCAGTCAAATTATTCTCATTACCGGTAATAAAAACCTTGCAACAATTTATGAATTAACAGTACATTGGATGTCAAATATGTGATAAAATATAACCCCCATAACATACTTACATTTTGTATGTACCTTCATTTCAAAGACTAATTGCAATTGTTTATTACAAAAGGGCCGGCCATAACTAATTTGTTCCAGGGAAAAAAAGAGAGAGTAAAATCTGACTTAAGATTAACATACCTTAAGTCTATCATGGAATTTTATAATACTGAAAGTAGAAGGCATCACAGGTATTCCTGGTTCTGTTAATAGGATAACTCCCTTCTTATGAACAAGGTGATCTATCTGGTCTCCTCTTATACAATAACCTAACAAATCGGCAATACCGTCATGTTTTAAAACAGAAAACCATAAAACCTCTCTCAATAAACCATAATTTCCCATCATAGAACATTTATCAGCATCATAAACACTTTGCAAACATTTCACTTTAATGTCAAGGTCATTTGCCTGAGATTTCATAATAACTTCCACCCCTTTGTCTGGAACAAAAGCTCTATCAATGAACTTTTTCTTTCCGACACGGAATGAAGATGAGATTCTCAATCCATCAATGTCTTTACATGACATTGGACTTTCAAATCCAAGGTCATAAAGTTCTTGGCTGACTTCCATTATCATGTCATCTGCATCCTGGGCTCGTCCCCAATCTGGAGGATATAAATTTTTTAATAAAGATTTGATTCTATGATATTTATTAGAATCAAGAGCCGGAAGTTCAATTTTTGGTAAAGCTTGTAATTTATCTTTCTGTCTCTCTATATTATGTTGTAATGCTTGAACTTCCATTATATCAACTTCTGGATATCTTGGTTTGTCCATCCCATGATTCACAGGGGCAAAGTTCATATCTCCTCCTTGAACAAGATCATTAAGATAATTTTTCTTACTTCCATCGCTGCGACTGTCACTTAGACGTTTGTAGGTCAGCATGACACCAGCAATGGAGAATAATATAAGGAAGGCTATCCACGCTGACTTATAGCGATACCTTAACAGCCTCATTTTAATAATTTTGATCACTATTCCTCTAGGTCACGTGGTTCATGGCTTAATGCCTTTTCAGCTTCTGAAAAAATATAAATACTGTAATTAATTTAGATAATACATGTAATAAGGCTGTAGTCATTGATATATGCACCAAATAAATATATTTTAGACAAAACCTCAGTACTGCGCTAATTCAGGTACCTTATAATCAATGGTTGTCTAACATTTCTAGTATCAATAAAATTATACATTTACTTTGTTCATTTGTTGTTTAATTATTTTGGCCTGTAATTTTAATTTCTAAATACTATTATTGGATATTAATTAAGCTCAGCTTTTTGTAATTATAAATTAAGGATGAACTACATTTACAAAAGAGCTACTGTATTTAACGTAGGGTGAAACATTCAATACCAAAATTTTAATCCAAGCCGTCTAAAAGGATTATAACAAACATAAAACACAACAACAGTGATTGAATTATAAAAAAAAAAATATTTCATTCCCCCCTGATTTAGTTGAGAAGTTTTTCAAAAGTCATTGAGAAGGTCACTCTATCAAATCTATATTTACTCCTCTTTAAGTTCATACATGATACTACATGTACAATCTCTGAATTTAATATGTATGAATAAAAAGTGAATTTTCCACTATCATGACCATGTTCGATGTTTATAAGATTTCATGCAGATGATACATGTATTAATCAATTCAGAGGTCTTTGTATTAGTTTGGGGGATTTTACCTCAAATCACATGTCAAATACAATGAGCCACAGAAACCTAAAGATTGATCATTACAAACACCACCAGACTGAGGTTGAATATCTATGTTGGTTTTAGCCTTCGGCTGTTGGAACCTGGACTAATCTTTTCTTCTTATAAGTAGGACCAAGTTTCTGATTTTAAGCAACAATTGTTCGAAGTTGTTATTACAGTACTATAGAAATCCGTGTTTGCTGTCTACAGAGTACAGTGACATGTTTAGGGGGTGGGTCTTTTCACCACCGAACACCACTGCACACCACCGAACACCCAAAAAAAACACCAACCACTATGAAAAACAGTGATATTATACAATAAAACGATAAAATACATTAAATTACGTATAATTAAATAAATTTTTAGATTTTTTTGTCAATATATGAGCATTCTTTTTATGTTAAAATCGATAATCAATATAAAAAATATCAAGAAAAACGTCTCCGGATTCATCACTATTTTTGCGGATTACATTGTGTGTGTATATAAATTATATTCATAATAAGTAATCAGTTCAAGTATCCTCTCTGTTCATCCTATTTTATATAAGACATAGAAGAAAAAAATGAAAAAAAAACATATTTGAGGTGTTAATGGTGGCAGAGACATATAATACAAGAGATTCACAACTCTAGTAGAGTCTATACAACAGCCAATGAAATGACTTGGCTACCGGAAAGCCGATTATAGCGATGGATTTTTGGGTAAAATCCGCCATTGTTGTGAAAAAGGTCCTACGCCTAACGATTTTTATAATGGATAATGCCGATACTTTTCACAGCTAAAGCATGTAAGTATATTTAAAAGTTTCAAAAAAACAATTCTAATAATTTGTTACTAATAAAGTGTGTTGGAATGATGAGATTAATCAAATACAAACAAAGTTAAAACTCGGCCCATTTTACTTCAACTCCTATTGCCGTAGAAACCATTTCAGGGCATTTGATCTCCTAATTTTTTTCTTAAAACTTGGAAATATGCTAATAAATATATAATTTTATGGGGCAATAATACTCCCAAATGTTGTTTCGTGAAAATTAGACTATTGATCTAATAGTGTTGTTTTTTTTTCTTCAAAATTATCAAGGACGTATAACTTACATATAAGTCCTTGAAAATTATCAACAAATGTGGCGATTTTTTCTTATTGATACCCGAAGCCAGCTGGTACTATAATTTTATCTCGTAAAACTTGGAAATGTGCGAATAAATATTCAATTGTATGGGGCTATATTACCCTCAGATGTTATGTCGTGAAAATAAGCCACGTTTCGTAAAATTTGATCCAACAGTTATTTTAAAAATATCACACAAAGGTGACTATTATTTTGTTATTTATACACAAAGCCAGCTATGCTAATTTTATCAATCTGTTTCGTCAAAACTAGAAATTTACAAATAAATATGTCATATTATGGGGATTTACATTTCTCTCATTTTTTTCTTTCTTTTTTTTTTATTAAACTGGCTAAATATTGAAATTGTTCATGGAAAAATTTCCTTAAATCAGTCCTTCATGTTTGTGCACTATGAAATTTAAAGCCTGCATTTTGTTAGGCAATTTATTCATTTTTCATTCTGTTTATGGCAAAGTTGTTTATTTTCTCCTATTCTGAAGTCATTGTTTTTTCTTCTTTTTAGGGTGCCAAAGATGAACGAATGCAGTAAATTTTCAAAAGGAGTAAAATTTTCTAGAAAAGGAAACCTTCTGCTGGTCGTAATATTACGAATGAGCTTCATGCATCTGTTGTCGTTTCAGACTACGCTTCTCATTCAAAACATGAACCTAATTCATTTTTAAATTAAAATCGTATTGAGGACATTTTAATGGTGACAGCAAAAGATATATATATTTGATAATAAAAGATTTTATTTGCACCAAGGATTTGTATATGTACACATTAACAATTTTACTTTTAAACTGCCATCTCTTTACCCCAGAATAAAAAGACAAAAACCACTACAAATGATTAAAAGACAGAAACCACTACAAATGATTGTCTCTTGGAAATAAGGTTATAAAATACTTTTAAAATAGTGTCTTCCATGTTGCTAAAGTTGATGTATGACCTCGGCTCCCACTTCAATGTTGTGTTTTTTTTTTAAGACTTTTTGTTGCTTCGAGGACACACATATCTATCTATGTATGCAGTTTTGTCAATTGTTTTTGTTAGTGTGTCTCTCGCTTATGTCTTCCCACGAAATAAAATCGGAATTTTCATATTGCGTGCACATGAATGAAGCTTTATTCAAATGAGAAATTAATTGTAATTATCATAAATATTAATTCTCAGTACACACTTTGAACATGAAAAAACCATAAATTTACCGACAATTAAGTTTTTTTCCACATTAATTTTACTTTTTGTAAATTGTATTTTTGGAAAGAGTGTGGACACCTGTGGTGTAACAATTTCATGTTTACAAGGTGTCAATTAAAACTCATTATTTATAACATGTTCGTGATTACCTGGTCATCGAATAATTCAAACCTAATATACATGTCACACTGTGAAATTATGTCTCCGAGACAGGTGTATATTCAATAGAAACCCATTATGAAACTATCAAATAAAATGAACTCTGATACAATTAATTTATCAAGTGTTAATTATTTAATATCATAACAATTTTTTTAATACAATATCAAATTATGTCTCTTTTTCAATAATACAAATCTAAAATCAAAATTACATTAAAATAAATAATTATATATGAACTCAAATAATTTAATTAATTATGATAAATTTAACACTGAAACTGTTAATGTTATGCTTAGGCCAAAATAAATAGTGTGTTTCCTATTTCACCTCGAAAAAAATTAGGTAGGGTAGGTAGGTAAAACATTTTTATTTTATAAAAACTTTTTATTTTTTTCTATCGATGACAGCAGAAAAAGGTTCCAAATGAAATCATTTGATGTGTCTTGCATGCTTCTTTGATATTTAGAATAGTACTTAAATCTACAGCTTTTTTAATTTTCTGTTTAAGTTCTGTGTAAGAAATATGAAAATAAACTTTAATGCAAATTTTATGCATTTCATGGGTCGTAATATACTGACGGACTTTAGAAAAGCAACACACATTTTGGTGAACTTTTTTTACCAAATCACTATTGATCCTCATATAACAACTATTCATGCTTACCATACTTCTTTATGGTTAGAAAAATTCAATACCTGACGTACCTGAGGTTATGTAACATATCGGATTATTGAAGTCGCACAAATTTCTCAATGCGAAATTTGAAAACAACAAATGATTTTTTAAGGATTTTTTTGGTGAAACAATTCGTTCAATCTGTACCCACACTTGAATCATTAAACAAATGTTGCATCTCCATATTGCCGAGACTAAGCAGTGAAAATCTGAATCAGGCCATAAGAATATTGCAGGCAGGAATACGTGAACGTGCTGTTTTCAGACAATTTCACGTCAGAAACTCGTTTTACTGTCCTTACAAAAACGGTACAGGCAGATAGGATTTGTTGATGACCATCCATGACCAGATCAATATGTAGTGACGACTCAACGTCAATAAAATTTGATTATGCAACATCATTTGCGAGACTTATTTATGGCTGCAACGTCAACTGCTAATCAAGTCGACAAATGCAACGGCAGACAGATTCATGCCAAAAATGTTTCCCATATACTGAAATGCCAAAGAATCGACTGCAGAAAAACATTTGAAGCTCTAAATTTTAAACCCCTTAATTGCTAAAACACACTGTAATGCATGGGGCAGAGGCAAATTCAAAAGGTACAAAACAGAACTCAAAACATGCCCACAAAATTGGTTGACCTTTCTGACAATCATTTTGAAGTTGGTTGCAGGCAGTCTTTGCCTTCGACGGTGATCCATTGATAAGGAGAAAACCAGGGTTTCAGTGCATATACCACATGAATTAAACTTTAAAAATGACGTCATGAGTTCAACTTTTGAACTGCAAACTTTTTTTTCAGACAATTAAGAAATGAATAAAAGTTATCTTTATACATTTATTTTACAAAAATTGCCTGTTTGAAAATGGGGAGTAAAAAAGAATAATCTAGTGTTGCGTTTTTAAAGTCCGTCAGTATAGGAATATGTTCTTGTCGATTAATTATCTTAATGCAAAAATGGCAGTGAAAAATCTGGCATGGTATTATTATGTTTGGCCTCGTTGAACCTAACAATGTAAATGGCACACAGGATATACATGTGGGAACAGATTCCTACCCCCCCCCCCCCCCCCCCCTCACCCCCTTTTTTTTAGTAGTAAAAACACTGCAAATCGATGCCAAGCAGTGGCTTATTATGATTTTACGAGGGGTAATACTCTTGCACCCTTTTTATTTAATGTATAGATGTGTTTTGATGTTTGACAGAATCTAATCTTGAAGAGGGGGGTTCTGACAATATTAAAATTCCAGGTTTTGAGAAGAGTGAAATCTTTAGTCTTATTAAATCTATGGAAAAAAATTGTAGATATTAATAGGACATGATTTTTTTTCCTTCTCTAGTATAAACTGTTGAAAGACCAGCCAGAGAAAATATAAAAGAATAAAAGTAGACATAGTGCCAGGCCAGATTCATTTATAAATGAACATGAATCATACACCATGTCTGCCTACTGGGGAAAGCTTTCTATTTCTCGTTACACATCGTCTGCCCCCTTGCCGTCGTGAACTCAAACTGTCAAATGCTCAAAAGCATTAACAGCCGTTTATGTTGCCCTAAGAACAATTTTTTACAACATTCGTAAGAGCATTTTTCACAACAAAAGCTGGATTGATTTTAGCAGTAAATTGATCTCATTTTACTCTTAAATTATTTGTCAATTAACTGACAGAATTAGATACAGTCTGTACAACCTGAAACGATTCTGACTTTTGGTTCAAAGAAGCACAGGTACAAAATGAGATTTTGTTAATATATGTATATATACTGAATACATTATTCACTATATATACAAATATTTAAAAAATCTTGTCTTGTACCTGTGCACAGAAATTGAGCAAAATGCGTCAACTTCGTATTTTTGTCGTCTATAGGTCCATCATGGTGTTCTTTAAAAAGATTCATCATATCGTAATTATCCGAAATTAATGTCATTATATTTTGCAACCATGTGATCACATTTCGCATATTTGACAGCTAATCAGTGCACGGTTGTGAAAAAGCCATGCTTGTTTATTTAAAATCTTGGTTCTTGAAACACTTTACTCATTTATATTGGTCATTGCTATCAAAGGTTTTGAAGATCTGTAGTTTTCTAAACAAATAGTCAAATCCGGACTGACCGAAAAATCCTGATTTGTAATATTTTTATTTTATTTTTGTCAATAAAATGTTTAGGGTCGGCGTCAGAAACGGAGGTAGGGTCGGGAAACCGGAAAACACACTATTTATTTATTTTTGCCTTACATGTAACCATTCGTCCTTACTTCGAGTACTTTTAATACTTTTATTAAAGACTTTATTACCTAAGGAGATCTCGCGAGGTTTAACTAGTGGCCGCATGTTTTTACGGGATTTGGCCGAGTTGCCAATCTCTTGTATTATATGTCTCTGATGGTGGTCTGCGGAGTTCAAAAAGTGTGGTGTTATACTCAGTATAAGTTATAGACTCTCCTTTTCTGTTCTATGTAGATATTTGGTCTCTTAATCTTATGATTTATTAAATTGATAACTTAAATATTATATTTAGGTCACATTTATAACGATAAAAGACAAACAAATAATTTTTTGGGGTGTTCGGTGGTGTTCGGCGGTGTGCGGTGGTGTTCGAGGGTGAAAAGACCTACCGATGTTTAGGGACAGCGTCAACGTTATAAATTGTGTAGAACCCTCGTGAACAAACTTTTGTATTGGGACGCTATTGTGGTGCAGGATAGAAATTCTTTCTTTCAATTCAAAGATGCATTACTATGTATTAAAACTGTTTCTTAAAATGTTTGACAGTTCGTAGACATTCACTTTCCAGGCCAGGGGAGATAATCGGGAAACGAATACATCTTGCCAGATTGTTCCCGTTCAGAATCATCTTAGCTATCACCAGTAACCCATTTTTTTTAGCAACAACGCACCACAATTATAGTTATCGCGTACCATTGCAAACTCGTACCAATGTCAACTCGTACCATTAAAAGCAAAGTCGTTCCACTACTAACTCGTACCACGGTAAGCAAACTCGTACCAATGTCAACTCGTACCATTAAAAGCAAAGTCGTACCACTGCTAACTCGTACCAATGTCAGCTCGTACCATTAAAAGCAAACTCGTACCAACTTATTTAAATGCATTCAAATGGTGTTAAAAGATGAATAATTCTTTTCATAGGCTGTCAGTTATCCATTTTGATGTACTTGGGAGTTTACTTTTAGTTAGATCGACAATCAGCAATTAATTATTTTAATATCATTACTTTCTTTGTTGACATAGTTGTTTGTTTTTAAAGTGATTAAGATTATGACACAATGTTGACTGCTGTACCCCAATTTTTGACATGTTTACCTATAATTATTGTCTCTACACTTTACACAGTTTATGCTAGTCTTTGACTGATTGTCGATAGATGCCAAATTTCTTAATTTGTATTTTTTTTTTCATGATAAATATTTGCAAAAACAATTCATATATAGTGTATCATGTGTATATTTTAAATGGATGCACCACATCGTATTTATTAAAAACAGGGAAGAAACAAATATTGACGGTAACTGCTTCTAGATCAGAAGTTTTGCTAAGTTTTCTCTCTTTTTCAGAAGGAAATGACTGCCATGTTCGAACCAATATTCAATGTAAATAGAAGGCAACCATAAGTTAATATTGAGTTGATAATTAAAGTCAAAGAAGCTTGCTTCGAAAGTGTGTACAATGACTGGGTACATCCGGACCAGTACACTTTTTCGGATAAGCATCTTCGACTTCAAACTCTTGGATTTCTATATTCTGCAACTAATGACAGCTATATTTGATGATAAAGGACTGCTTTGGGTTCATCAAATTGTGGCTAGCAAGAAATGATATAGCAGAAATTATAATATATTGGTTTCAGTCAATTACAACCTAATATTTCATCAGAGACATATAATACATATATTGTATTATATGTCTCTGATTTCATGTATTTAGAAATAAGAACAATTTCGAGAATGTCAGAAGTAAAATAAGTACTTTATATGGATAAACTCATCATATACACCTGGATTAAAATTTTGTACGCCAGACTCGCGTTTCTTCTACAAGACTCATCAATGACGCTCGAATGAAAAAAGTTAAAAAGACCAAGTAAAGTACGTAGTTAAAGTGTTAAACAGCATTTAGGATCCAAAGGATACTCTCCGGGAAGAAACACCAACCAGCAGTGGCATGTAAATAAACTCATTATATATACCGGGATTCAAATTTTGAACGTCTGACGCGCGTTTCGGCTACAAAAGACTCATCAGTGACGCTCGAATCAAGAAACTATCCTTTAGACAAATTTGAGCTTAGAAGAATTTTAATATTATTTTGGTTCCTTTTGGTCATATAGCTCCCGACTTATCTGCGTATTTATACACCCCTGGCTTTCAAATGTTTAGGTTTCGAGCGTTTCTTTTTAAGGTTAATATAGAAAAGCGCTTTTAACGCACGAACTTTATAAAGTTTTATTTTCATTTTCTCTTTTTTTAAATTATTATCGAGAAACACCCAGGCGAAACACGATCGTTGCCTGTTTATTTAGTATTATAATTCATCGGAAAAAATTTTATTTGGCCTTTTCAACTTTTTTTTATTCGAGCGTCACTGATGAGTCTTTTGTAGACGAAACGCGCGTCTGGCGCAAATACAAAATTTCAATTCTGGTATCTATGATGAGTTAATTTTTCTTCACAATGTTCCAATTTACCAAGGTAAAAAAGGAATAACAAAGTTTTTCTTGTCTATTGTTAATTTTCTTTTTATTGATATGTTTTCTTAGCTTTCCATATCGAGTTAGCGCTTCTTAAATGTTTTGTTATGCAAGTATTTGCAGTTTCGCCTAAGATATCAATTAACGTAAGATTGGCATTTATTTAAATTTCTTAAATGAATACCAAGAAGAATACAAATGTGAAATGTGGTTTGCACTCTTTCATTTTATCACAAATGTATCGAATACTTGTAAAAGAATAATTCCACTTCTAGAAACTTAATTAGATAGTATTTGATATGAAACATTTTGCGGATGTTTTATTTTTTGTCGACAAACGAGGGTAGATATTGCCCCAAAGATTTTTCTTTATAGCTATAAATGTGTAGCGATCAATGTTTATAACTTTGTAAATTCACACAGCTTCAGTTTTCGAAGGTAAGGGAAATAAATGTTTTCTTGTCCTCCTATTTTCTTTGTTTTAGATTATTTGGATAATTTCTCACATCCCCATATTTATATAGTCCTATCTAGTTTACGCAATATAGATTATATATTGAAAGGGAATGTTTTTGTGAGGTAATTTCCCTTTTTGTTTTCTGAAAGTTCATATCTTTCCATAGAAATATATTCAAAAAGTTGTTTTCTGTTAACGTGTTCTAGATAAAATAGATATAGCATTCATAAAAGAAATACTGAATAAATCTTACATCGAGTCAATTGAGGCAATCTATTGAAACGAAACTGTTTTGACATGTTATTGATATTTGCAGTAATACGGGAACAAATTATGTCCCTTTTTCTGTGGGTATGTTGCTTTAGACTCATGAGTCAGACCTTAAACGTGAATTTCTGAAAAATGAAATGAAGTTTAAATTATTTCTTAGCATCATGTTCGGCTGTACATATATATATAATGTCCTTTCGCTATACAACTTAAAGATTGGTGACTATGTTGATTGCATCTATCCTCTTGTACTTTAAATAAAAGATACCAAAGATATTGTAAAATATGTTTCATATCTTTACATACATTTATAAATGACATTATTGGTTGGTTGACAACTAAACTTTACGACAAATATGATGATTTCAATTTGCCGATTGTAAACTTATGTTTTTGTATAATAATATTCTAGCATCGATTGCATTTTAAGTATATATCCCAGTTGATATAATCGTTCAGGGCTTGCACTTTAAACCACGATTTCTTTAATAGGGGATTACTGCTTACAAGGCAGCTTTTAAGTAAAAATTTCTGATTGTTAAAGCTGACGCTTCCAATACGAAAGTCGTGACTTGGTTGACGGAATATCTGTGGTACAGATGACCACGGATATGTTCCACTTTCCGTAACTACAGTGTCTCGTCTTCTGACTGTGACATTACAGAATGCGACTCAACACACCATCTTTACTTGCAATTAGTAACACGAATGATTTACATTCTTCCTCGAAATTCTTTTTTGATGGTTTAATATGCCTTTTAAACGGTTATCTACTAAACCAGTGACGACGTTAACTTCTTCAAAACAAGTCCTTTACACAATGCACCGTTGCTCCCGTCTGTCCGCACCCAAGTTAACTTGTGAGCCGACTACTGTGAAACGTTAGATGAAAGTTATCAAATTTGAATAATGAGATGAGGAGAGGGAATGGATTCAGAATAAAGTCAATTACTTTATGATTTCCAGAAAGAGAAAAAGAAGTTTTGAGATTGAAGGGTTGCTTTTCAAGCATTGCAAGAAGCACGATATATTATAAAGTTTCAGCATAACAAGGGAAATATTGTGACTTTTACAACACTTAGAAATTGACACATGCTCTATGTTCATTAGGTATGTGTTCATGATACAGCAATTCCTCTAAATCACCCGAGACTTCGAATATATTAATTAAATTCAAAAGTGAGGGCAAACGGTTTTCCACCAATTCCAGTTTCCGCATTTTATTTGAATTTTACTGTATAGTTGTCTCCTTGACAATCGTACCACATCTTCTTATTTTTGTACACAGAAAATTAGGAGACAATTCCTCACTTTGAGTTGTATCTAAATTTCTACACCCATTTTTTTTTATATATTCATAAACACGTAATACGCATTTCAAATTTGAAGTTTGCTTGAGAAAACGTGTACAGACCTTTTTAACCTTACAATTTTATCTTCTCATTTATCTTTTAAAGGTAGGGTAAATTAACACAATGAATTAATTCATATTTAATCACTGGAATATTTGTAAGTATGAGAAGTTTGAATAGCTACCTCTTAACCATATTAACATCAAGTATTGCCTTTTCAGCACTGTTGATCAAATCTAAAAATGATGCATATAATCGATTGTAACATAAAATTAACTATTTTTTAGCTTATTGTTGACCACATTATCATTTTGGCCAGTGGCCGATGCCGGCAGCAGAATGAATTCCTTCAAACTTCAAATTGTCGGATAGCGTTTAATTAACGGCAGCAGGTAAGCATTGAAAATGATAACACATATAACAGTATCCGTTAAATGATGACAATCTTAAAAAAAAAAATTTAACCTCATAAAAAAATGTTTGCTCCGTCTTTTTCATGGTCTATAGCTCCATCTGACTTAACAACTCATCATAATATATAGTACTACACATACACCAACGTCAATGATGTATACAATATCCCAAAGGTTTTCAATCCCGTAACTCTACCATGTTCCATTCAAAACGATCCCAGGGCCTAGAACCATATTTACAATGTACTGTTGTTCGCATTACATGATGTATTTACTGCAATATCCTTAAGTTGTGTTACCTTACCTAATATATTCCTATTCTTCATTTGAAAAGGACTTAACTCATCTGCTTGATACAAAGCACAAAAGACACACAGTACAGATGTGTGAGTTATCGAAAGGTATTTCAAAGCAAATAAATACCTTTTATAACAATTTTATTTAAAGAATCGATAAATTTACCCGGATCGTATCTAAATTTACGGACTTGGTAAACAACATCACCATGCAACTTAGGACGAATATTGATCCTTTAGATAACTTTTCGATTTTATGATATGAAAATCAAGAAAATTGTAGATCTGTAAAATGATTCAGT